CAAGAAGTCCAGATCACTCTGGCAGCCAGACTGGGGAGGCGGAGGAGAAGATCAAGGTCCTGCATTCAGGTGCGTGTCTGGCACCTGGCCCGGCCTGTCAGACCAGGGGACCCAGAGGGAGGAGCAGGAGGGGACGGTGACACTAGGAACACGGGCTCAGGGGTCTAGAGTCAGGAGGGCAAGACGGGAGTTGGGAAGGGAGAAGAAAGACCTACACTACCCAGCAGGGATCCGAGCCTGGTCCCCAGAGGCCACGCAACAAAGGCCAGGCAGGCAACCAAGCCGGCTGGGCTGGGGAAGGCAGCAGGGAAGGGTGGAGACTGTGGCAACCAGGAGCACCCAGGCTGTAGCGACAGAGGTGGCCACTGCTGAGTGCCAGCCCGGCACTGCCACACGGCCTAGTGGCCCAGTCCCTTCAGGCTTGTTACAGGGGGGGGTGGGGGGGGGGGGGGGGGGGGGGTGGGAAGCCAGGTGGCCGTCGGTCCGCATGGCCTGCAGCCCCGTGTCCCCGCAGGGGCCTTCAAGAAGTCCAGATCACTCTGGCAGCCAGACTGGGGGAGGCGGAGGAGAAGATCAAGGTCCTGCATTCAGGTGCGTGTCTGGCACCTGGCCCGGCCTGTCAGACCAGGGGACCCAGAGGGAGGAGCAGGAGGGGACGGTGACACTAGGAACACGGGCTCAGGGGTCTAGAGTCAGGAGGGCAAGACGGGAGTTGGGAAGGGAGAAGAAAGACCTACACTACCCAGCAGGGATCCGAGCCTGGTCCCCAGAGGCCACGCAACAAAGGCCAGGCAGGCAACCAAGCCGGCTGGGCTGGGGAAGGCAGCAGGGAAGGGTGGAGACTGTGGCAACCAGGAGCACCCAGGCTGTAGCGACAGAGGTGGCCACTGCTGAGTGCCAGCCCGGCACTGCCACACGGCCTAGTGGCCCAGTCCCTTCAGTTCTCCCAGAGAAATCAGCAATCTGGAAGTTTATGAGAAATCCCTCAAGCCCCTCTGGGAGCAGGAAACTCACTGCCTATCACCAGTTCTAACCCAGGGAACTGTCTGCTCTCATTCGCCCCGCCTCCTCCCACCTTCCAGGCCCCACCGGAGGAGGTGTCCACCTCCCTGGGGGCGGGGAGCCTCACCCCGCTCTCTCCTTTTTCCCAGCGTTAAAGGCAACGCAGGCTGAGCTGCTGGAGCTGCGGCGGAAATACGATGAGGAGGCCGCATCCAAGTAAGTGCAGCACTGCTGGGGTATGCCTCCTCCATCTGACCCTCCCAGACCTGCCTCCTCCCTCTGACCCTCCCAGACCTGCCTCCTCCCTCTGACCCTCCCAGACCTGCCTCCTCCCTCTGACCCTCCCAGACCTGCCTCCTCCCTCTGACCCTCCCAGACCTGCCTCCTCCCTCTGACCCTCCCAGACCTGCCTCCTCCCTCTGACCCTCCCAGACCTGCCTCCTCCCTCTGACCCTCCCAGACCTGCCTCCTCCCTCTGACCCTCCCAGACCTGCCTCCTCCCTCTGACCCTCCCAGACCTGCCTCCTCCCTCTGACCCTCCCAGACCTGCCTCCTCCCTCTGACCCTCCCAGACCTGCCTCCTCCCTCTGACCCTCCCAGGCCTGCCTCCTCCCTCTGACCCTCCCAGGCCTGCCTCCTCCCTCTGACCCTCCCAGGCCTGCCTCCTCCCTCTGACCCTCCCAGGCCTGCCTCCTCCCTCTGACCCTCCCAGACCTGCCTCCTCCCTCTGACCCTCCCAGACCTGCCTCCTCCCTCTGACCCTCCCAGACCTGCCTCCAACCTCTGACCCTCCCAGACCTGCCTCCTCCCTCTGACCCTCCCAGACCTGCCTCCTCCCTCTGACCCTCCCAGACCTGCCTCCTCCCTCTGACCCTCCCAGACCTGCCTCCTCCCTCTGACCCTCCCAGACCTGCCTCCTCTCTCTCACCCTCCAGACATGCCTCCTCCCTCTGACCCTCCCAGACCTGCCTCCTCCCTCTGACCCTCCCAGACCTGCCTCCTCCCTCTGACCCTCCCAGCCCTGCCTCCTCCCTCTGACCCTCCCAGGCCTGCCTCCTCCCTCTGACCCTCCCAGACCTGCCTCCTCTCTCTCACCCTCCAGACCAGCCTCCTCCCTCTGACCCTCCCAGACCTACCTCCTCCCTCTGATCCTCCAGACATGTCTTCTCTCTCTCATCCTCCAGACCTGCCTCCTCCCTCTGACCCTCTCAGACCTGCCTCCTCTTTCTGACTCTTCTCCTGCTGCCTCTTTGCCTGAGGCACCCGTTTCATGAAGCACCCTCTGGTCCCCACCTGCATGAGTGGGATTTGCTGGGCAGGGCCCTCTGCCTCGCCCCAAATCCTGGGGCTGTCCCCACTCCCCGACTCCACAGTCCAGCCCCCCACTGCAAGACCCCTGGGTTCAGGCAGGGGCTGGGGTTCCAGGGTGGGTGGGGCCCCACGGCCGCCGAAGCCCTTTTTCAGGCCTGTCTTTCTGTGTCAGGGCCGATGAAGTCGGGCTGATCATGACCAACCTGGAGAAAGCCAATCAGGTGAGGAGACGCGTGGGGGGCTCATCCTGCCCGGCGGGCCCGGGAGACGGGGCAGAGCCCCATTGGCGCTGACTGAACTGCGTGGGTGCTGAGGCTGAGGCCGGGAGATGGCTGGGCCTCCCTGCGCCCCTGGAGGAGGGGGGGCGAGGTGTAGACGGAACGCTCAGAGATACGATGACCGGGCAGCAATGGTCCAGGACCGAGCGCCTGACCCAGACTCTGGCGGCAGAGACATTGTCCCGGAGGAGGGGCCGTGGAGCTGAGGCCTGACAGACAAATCGAGAACGTAGAGGGATGGATTGCAGGTCATGGAACGGCCTGGTGGAGGCCAGCAGGTCGCCTGCAGAGCAAGGCGGGGCTCTCCAGGGTCTCTGGACAGTGGGAGGGGGGAGGCAGGGCAGGGGTGTTCCCATATGGTGGGCCAAGCGGGCAGGACTTCGAGAGGGGGTGAGGCGTGGCTGTGCGGTCCGGTCTGGAGTCTCGTGGGACCCCCGGCTCGCTGCAAGCCCAGCACAGAGGGGCATGGCCAGGAGGGGCCAGCAGTGTGACAGGGCAAGTGGTCGTTTCCCTGGGGGTCATTGTGGGAGGCCTCCGGAGGAGGGCCCTTTGCAGCTGGGTCCTGAGCGCAGACGTGTTCCTTGAGGAAGGGCCTCGGGCAGGAGCCCAGCACAGGGTGAGGCCCAGAGGCGCGGCACCAGGACCGGGTGCTCCCTCCTGCCAAGGGAACCTGGGAAAGAGGAGCATTTTTTTTTTTAAGATTTCGTTTTTTCCCTTTTTCTCCCAAAGGCCCCTGGTATATAGTTGTGTATTTTTAGTTGTGGGTCCTTCTATTTGTGGCATGTGGGATGCCACCTCAGCATGGCTTGATGAGCGGTGCCGTGTCCACGCCCAGGATCCGAACTGGCGAAACCTTGGGCCACTGAAGCAGAGCGCGCGAACTTAACCACTGAGCCACAGGGCGGCCCCCGGAAAGAAGAGCATTTTCAGGCTAGTTTTTGGAATAGGTGATCCATTTACATAGTTCAGAACTCCAAAAGGGACATCAGGGTGTGCCCGGAAACCCCGTCTCCCCTCCCTCCGGCAGCCTCCCTTCCCAGTTTCTGGGGTCTCCTTGCAGAGATGCTCCATCCATTCACAAGCCCATGAATATACCTGTTGTAACCCCTTTTTCAAACAAAAGCTGTAGCATACTACACACACCCACCCGCAGTTACTTTCTCCACGTACGTCTCTTAGAGCTCCCCCCGTACTCGTGTCTCACCCAGGGGACAGCAAACCTTCGTTCGCTAAAGCGTCCGAGAGTAAATATTTTCAGCTTTGCAGGCCCCCGTCACAGCAGTTCAGCTCTGCTGTGTGTGGAAGCTTTGACAATGTGGAAACGAATGAGCGAGGCCGTGTTCTGCTGAAACTTTATTTACAGAAACAGGCACAGGCTGCAGTCCGCCGGCCCGTGGTCTAACCAGGCCCCAGTGACGGACACTTAGGGTCTTTCCCATCTTTTACCATCGTCCTCAGTACCGCGGCGAATGACCTTGTGCAGAGATCACTTCACACACGCACGAGCCACTATGTAGGGTGAGTCCCTAGCCGTGGAATTACTGGGCAAAGGGCCTGCGCGTTTATAATTTGGCCGACGTGGCCGGACTGCCCTCCGTGGAATTGGGCCCATTCGCACTCCCAGAGCCACGCCAGTTCCTTGTGTCGTCAGACTTACCCGTCTTCGCCAACCAAATAGGCTGGAGAAAAGAGATCTCTGAGTAGCTGGAAGGGGAAGCATTTAAAATGTTTATTTTTTCTAAATATAAAACTAAAACCTGCTCATCATGGAAAGAACAGCAAAAAACATAAATGTCATCATATTAGGTTTTCAATATCTGTGTTTATTAACTGTCCTGAATGTGAGCAAGAGGGTTCTGGAGCAGAGCAGCTCCATGCTAGCACTTACTCAGTGAAAACCAGACCTTTGCCTCAGTTCTTACCCCGGGGGTGACAAGATGAGAACCAGGTGTCATCATCCCACATGCGCCAGGGAGAGAAAGCTGCGTCCGAGGGTCGGGATGGACAGAAGGCGAGCATCCTGGGGTTTCAGCGTTTCGAGTGCACGCGTTTCTCTGCAGGGGGTGAGATAAGCCTAGTGCTTTAAACCCAGCTTTATGTCCCAGGGGATGCGTCCGTGGTCTGGGCCTCCCCCCGAAATGTAAACACACAACTCTGGGGAAGCGAATCTCTCTGGGGTCCCCCTGGCTCCTCGGTCGGCAGTTGACTTCCGAGGCTTGTCTCTTAGCCCAGATCTCGAGTTTCAGTCAGATTTGCTCCGAAAGCCCCAACTGTGCCGAAATGTAAAAAGGTTTTCTGTACAACCCCACACACCCAAACCCTTTCCCCAGACACAACTGACTTGAACCATTTCTGGAACAAAGCAGGATCCCAGTGAATAAATAAGTCAACAAATCAATTAAAAAGAAATTAACAAAATGTGAATGTGGCCGTTTGTGGGTCCTGTGTGCATGTGGTGGGCATAGCATCTTGATGGCCAAGGTCAGCGTGTAAGTTAAGCACACCCACAATGACCTGCGTCACCAGCTGAGCTAAAATACAGCCCAGCTCTTTAATGTTCCAAGTAATGACCCAACCCCCCATAGACCCTGATGACGTTGACCAAGGTCACCAGTTATTGACGCGTCTGTGTGTGTCGGGCACTGAGCTAAGAGCCTTCCTGAGTTGTATTTCACCAAGTCACTTACTTTGCAAAACAACCCCGTGAGGTAGTTGCTTTCATATTCCGTTCTACAGATAGGGGAACCGAGGCTGGGGAGATGAAGTCTCTTTTGTCCAAGGTCACACAACCAGGAAGTGACAAAGCGCAGTGTCTCTCCCAGAGCCACAGGCTGCGTTGTTGTTGCCCCTTGGGTGCTTCCTTCCAGGCCTTCTTCTTAGAAATTCTGAAAGACTTAAGCTCCACCACAGACCCAGCTCGGCAAGCTGGCATTGATTTCTGGGTATTTCAGCCCGCCTCGCGCAGCAGACATAGTTTATTCCCCCCATTTCAGAAAAGGAAAACTGAGACCCGGGGTGGGGCGGGCACTTGCCCAGGGGCCTGCAGCAGCTTGTGGGCTGGGCAGCCGCCTCTGCAGACGCCCCCTAGGACACCCTCCGCACCCGGTTCCGTGGCATCTGGGGCAAGCTCTGGCCTTCTGACCAGCAGGGCCTGCAGTTTGCTTGGCCGATGGAGGTGGCCTGGAACTGTGTGAAAACCTGCCCAACAAGCCAGCGTCTCCCTTCCTGCCCCAGTGTGGCGGGAATGTCCCCGCTCCTCTTGGGGTCCCACGCCCCCCGGAGGAACCCAGAGCCAACTCGAGGGTCCGGGACCCCTGCCTGCCCAGCCCTCCTGAGACGGCGCAAGGAGATGGCGGGGGGCTGGGGTGGGGCCCTTTGGGGCCCGCTGGCCTCTTCACTGTGCTCACTGCCTTCTCCTCCGCAGCGAGCTGAGGCTGCCCAGCGCGAGGTGGAAAGTCTTCGGGAGCAGCTCGCCTCCGTCAACAGCTCGATCCGGCTGGCCTGCTGCTCCCCGCAGGGACCCGGTGGGGTAAGGATGCTGGGAGGGCCAGAGGCCGTGTTGGTGGGGATGGACACGTGGGTGACGTTTTGTGGGTCAGTCACGTGTATCTCTGTGAAATTGTGTCCATGGGTGTGTGTGGGTCTCTGTGCATACAGTGGGTGTCGCGTCTTAACTGCCAAGGTCGGGGTGTGGTCAACATAATCACCATGACTTGTTTCACCAGCTGAGCATCAGAGTACAGGCACAGCTCTTCCAACTTTTCAGGCTCAAGCTCCCATATGCCCTGATTAACAGGAAGTCCAGTATCCTCCTTTGGAGGCCCCCCCTTCTCCCCAGTTGTCCAAGAATGCCGGGGACTTACTCAGGTCCAAGAGGATCTGTCCTCTTGCCAGGTGCCCGGCCAAAGGGGCTGGGAGGGAGTTTGAGCCGTAGAGCAGCCGTGTGGTTTTGGCGGCTGCATCCAGGTGTCGCTGTTGACCACTGGTCTCCAACAGCTTGGCAGGGGCAGGGGACCAATGGCTCGGGTGCCCCCCAGTTCTCAGTCCTCCCAGGACTGCGGTCAGGCCACGTACCAGCATCTGAGCCACCGGTTCCCAAAGCACACCAGGGTGATCCAGTGGGGTTTCCCAACCAGCCACTCGCTGCCAAGAAGCATTCTCTAGTCACCAACCGTGAGGTTCCTGTGTTCAGCCTGGTTAATCAGTCTGTCTTTCTCTTTCCTCCTGGTTGGTGTTCCTTTGGGGTCCTGGGGTCGTTTCCTGCCAAGGGATTTTAGTCAGAGACCCCCCTAAGCCACCCTCCTGTCATATATCGAGAGGCTCGTCCTTCTTCTGCCAGAAAGCCTCAGCTTCTGTACATAAATTGGTCCAGCTTTCTTCCCAGGTCTCTGCATGCCAAGGGGTTCGGTTCGCGCTTCCTTTCGTGCAGCAGGTCTGCTCCAGCGTGACTGGCGGTCTCCACGTGAACCTGACGCTCTGACACGCAGACCACCTGTGTGTCTGTGTCTGTTTAAATATTGCAGTGTGTCTCTGTGAGCATGTGTTACTGTGTGTGTGTCTATTTGTGACCTTTGGGCAAATGACTGATCCTTAATCTAACTGTGCCTCAGTTTCCTCGTCTGTACAAGTAAGACCTACCTTCCAGGGTTATTGAGAGGACTACGTGTAAAGCACCTGAAATGGTTCCGGGCGTGTAGTCTATGCTCAGTGAATACTTGATGCGATTGTTATGACTACTAGTGTGTTGGTGTTTTTGCCTATGAGAGCATGTGCCCTCTTTAAGCACATGTGTGTCTGTGTGTGTCTGCTGACACGTCCATACGAGTGTGTGTCCTTGGTGGCTGTGTATTTCCGTGTGTGTGCATGTCAGCATGGGCTCGGGCAGGTACGTGTGTCAGCGTGTGCTGTGTCTTTCGGTGTGTCCACCTGTGTCTGTCCCAGGAGACAGTGTGTATGTGTCAGCATGCCTGGATGTCTGCACAGCACAGAGAGACTGAACACAGAGTGAGGGAGCTCACGAGGATGCCTCTGAGAGAACTTGCCAGTGGTTCTTAATTAACCCCCGTGGAGCCCAGCAAACGCTGTGCTAATCAGCCACAGGGAACTTTGCTGGTGTGGGGGGTGAGCTTTTCTGAGCACAACAGTGGCGCTCGATGCTAATTAATTTAATGTCTTAATGGCATCCGCTTCCTGTTTTAATTGGCATTTATCTCCATGGAAGAACGGCCGGGGTTGGTAGTGGTGGGTTGTGTTTTTTTGTAATCTTCTTAGATTCGTTTGTAATCGAGCTCAAGACCAGCCTGATTCAGGTCGCCTCAAACAGCAACCTCTCCATCTTCGTCTGGGACAAAGGGGCCATTTCCTAAAACCTGGAGGAGCGGCAGAGATTGGGGCTGGCCGCAAATTAGGAGGCGGAGGGAACCACTCCAGTGGGGCCCGTGGCTGCGAGGTCTCAGGTCCTGTCCTGAGGGTCTCTTACTGGAGTGGAAGCATGCCCTGGGGTAGGGCCTGTGCCCAACTTAGAAGCCCAAACCTTTGTCTGTGATGTTCCCTCTGCTGGGAACACCTGTCCCCACCACTCTCTCACCCAACTCGCTGCTTCCTTTCTTTTTCTTTATTGAAGTATAGTACACATAAGGGAAAATGTGCATGTCGTAAGTGTCCAACACAGCGAATTTCTCAGTGTGAACACACCCATCCCCGGCATCCACATAGATAGGTAGGACAGTCCCAGCGCCTGAGAAGGTGTTATGTGTCCCCATCCAGGTGTTACTCCCCCAGGGGAGCCAGTCGCCTGGCTCTAACAGCACAGATGGTTTGCCTGCTTTTGTATCTGGTCTTAAGTGAATCACACACCCTCTGGCGTCTGGCTTCTTTCACGCCGTATCGCACCTGGGAGAGTCGTCCAGGCTGTGTTGTGAGTCACTGTAGATGATCCATTTTCATTGCTGTGTAGTATTCCATTGTGTGGATATACCACAGTCTGTCCATCCATCCTGCTGCTGGTAGGCATTTGGGGCCTCCAGTTTTTGGCTGTTACAGAGAGGGCTGGCGTGAACATTCACCTTGGCATCTGTGTGTCTTGGTGCAGGTGCCTGCGTTTCTCCTGCATACGCCCCAGTGAGTGGAAGCACACACATTCTGCCTGTAGTGGATGCGGCCAGCTTTCCAGATCACTAACTTGTTCTTGAACTTTATCACGGTGTAGACACATCTTCCTCCAGAAAACCCTCCCTGCCCACTCCCCCTCCCTCCTGATTTAGTTTCAAGAATAGAGGGAAAGGCGTCCAGTCTGGTGGGACCAGCCTGAGCAAAGGCTCAGAGGTGGGAAGAGGAAAGCCACGGGCCTGTCGGAAAGGGGAGCTGTGCCACAGATGGGTCTCCTGTTTTGCTTGGGACTCGGGTGGGAGGCCCTACAGCCCCTCAGAGCACCTCTTTGTCCCCAGGACAAGGTGAACTTTGCACTGTGCTCGGGCCCTCGGCTTGAGGCTGCCCTGGCCTCCAAGGACCGGGAGATCCTGCGGCTGCTGAAGGACGTGCAGCACCTGCAGAACTCGCTGCAGGAGCTGGAGGAGGCCTCCGCCAACCAGATCGCCGACCTGGAGCGGCAGCTCACCGCCAAGTCCGAGGCCATCGAGGTGCGTCTCGGGGGTGGAACTGGGCAAACGGAGACGGGCAGGGTGTCCCCGGGCAGAAGGACACCCCGGCCAGTCCTCCGAGCATGGGCACCAGCCTCACCATCTCTGTGTGCTCTTCTAGAAGCTGGAGGAGAAGCTCCAGGCACAGTCCGACTATGAGGAAATTAAAACAGAGCTGAGGTATTGTGCGCATGGGGCACCACAGCCCCGGCCCTCTTCCCTGGGTGGTGGCGAGGGGCCCATGGCCAAGTTCATCCTCTTTCTCCAGACCCCACTTCGTGGTACCCTCGTCTCCTCTCCACTGGCCCCTGGTGTATCAAAACTTAACCATGCTCGGTCCTTTGCCATCAAGAAGTGGCCTTGCCAGTGCTGTACCGGGTGGGGGCTGCGTTGATCAGATGAGCTCGCGGGCCAGTGTGCCAGCCGGTGACCACAGCAGCCTCCAGGCAACACTGGGCCCAGTTCACAAGCTGCTCCTTCAGGCCCGTTGCTGCAGGGAGTGCAGCGTCCCGGGGGGTCAGGGGCCGGGCGCTCCTTCCCAGTCAGGGAAGATGAGTGGAAGTGCCCCTCACGAGGCCTGTCCCCAGGCCCGGGGACTCAGCTGGCCTCAGACGCTCCACTTTCTCTGGCAGCATCCTGAAAGCCATGAAGCTGGCCTCCAGCACCTGCAGCCTCCCCCAGGTGAGTGTCCCTGCCACGGTCCCCCCAGGGCAGGCTGTCACGGAGAGCCTTCCAGCAGCCATGCCCTCAGCCCGGCTTCTTGTCTCCGCAGGGCATGGCCAAGCCTGAAGACTCCCTGCTCCTGGCCAAGGAGGCCTTCTTCCCTGCGCAGAAATTCCTTCTGGAAAAGCCTGGCCTTTTGGCGAGCCCTGGTAGGGGTGGAGGGGTGCTCTCGGGGCTGAGGGGCCGGGGTAGGGGCTGCCCGTGGGCCTCTGGCCTTCTCCATGCCCACGGACCACTGCCTTCCACGCGGGCAGGACAGTGATGGAGAAAAGGGGTGCACACTGATTAAGCACCTGCTGTCTACCTGGGGCTGAGCCGGGTGCTGTCTGTGGCTAGACCAGCTGGCAGCTGTCCCAGAGGGTGTCCCCACATCCACACCCACACCAAGGACACACAGCTCACTCAGGCCCCCAAAAAGGCTCCACTCACCCCAAGCCTTTGTAGGCAGCAGGAAGAGATCATGGGGCAAGGTTCACCTTGCGCCCCCACGGCAGACATTGCTCTCTCCACGATCGCCGTCTCCGCCGCTTGCCCCTTCTCCCCACACAGTGGCTCCACCTCTGAGCTGGGTGGCCCCGGCTGGGGCTCTCTGTGCTGCCCCTGTTCCCCCATCCGTAAAATTGGGCCAGCAATGGGGCCTGCTTCCTGGACGCCGTGCACACGGGGAGGGCAGACACATAGGACAGGGCGGGGGGGCAGGGGGGCAGGAAGGGGGCGGCCTGCTGGGGTGGCATTAGCCCAAACTCCCGCCCAAACTCTCTGGAGCACGTGCTCCATTGCTGCTCCTGAGGGCAGGAGGGCGGTTCCCCAGATTGGCACTTGGACCCAGCCGTGAAGGATGGGCATAGGGAATTCGGGGCGGGGGCGGTGCTGGCGGAGACAGCCAGTGTGGGCACCTGGTGCTGCTGGACGCCATAGCGCTGTCTCCCCACCCCGTCCTCTCCTCCACCGATTTCTGTCTCTATGTATGTGTCTCTGCCTGCCTTTCACTGTCTCTCTGTCTCTCTCTTTCTCCCTCTCTGTCTTTCTCTCTGTCTCTGTCTGTCTCTGTCTCTCCCTTGGCTGTGCGTGGTTTCTTTCTCATGTGATTTCTCTCTCCCTCTGTTTCCCTGTCTGTCTCTCCGTCGGGTCTCTTTTCCTGTGTGTGTCTCTTGCTACTGCTTCCTCTGTCTCCCTGTCTCCCTCTGTCTCTCCCTTCTTCCCCCGTCTGTCTGTCTCTCCCCTCTCCCTCTGTCTGTCTCTCCCCTCTTCCTCCATTTGTCTGTCTGTCTCTCCCATCTTCCTCTGTCTGTCTCTCCCCTCTTCCTCTGTCTGTCTGTCTGTCTCTCCCCTCTTCCCCCATCTGTCTGTCTCTCCCATCTTCCTCTGTCTGTCTGTCTCTCCCCTCTTCCCCCATCTGTCTGTCTCTCCCCTCTTCCTCTGTCTGTCTGTCTATCTATCCCCTCTTCCTCCATCTGTCTGTCTGTCTCTCCCCTCTTCCCCTGGCTGTCTGTCTGTCTCTCCCCTCTTCCCCCGTCTGTCTGTCTGTCTCTCGCGTTCTAGAGGAGGACCCTTCGGAGGACGATTCCCTCAAGGACTCGCTGGGCATGGAACAGTCCTACCCATCGCCTGCACAGCTCCCGCCACCGCCAGGGCCCGAAGACCCCCTGTCCCCAGGCCCCGGGCAGCCCCTGCTGGGCCCCGGCCTGGGCCCCGATGGCCCTCGGACTTTCTCGCTGTCCCCCTTCCCCGGCCTGGCCTCGGGGGAGAGACTGGCAGGGGACGTGCTGCCGTCCAAGCCCATGATGGCCCCGGCCACCTTCAAGGGGGAGGCAGGCGGCCTGCTGGTGTTTCCGCCAGCCTTCTATGGCTCCAAGCCCCCCACGGCCCCTGCCACCCCCGCCCCTGGCCCCGAGCCGTCCGGGGGCCCCGAGCCGGCGGACGGAGCAGGGGGTGGTGGGGCCGGGCCGGGGGCCGGGCCGGAGGAGGAGCAGCTGGACACGGCGGAGATCGCCTTCCAGGTGAAGGAGCAGCTGCTCAAGCACAACATCGGGCAGCGGGTGTTCGGCCACTACGTGCTGGGGCTGTCGCAGGGCTCCGTCAGCGAGATCCTGGCCCGGCCCAAGCCGTGGCGCAAGCTCACGGTGAAGGGCAAGGAGCCCTTCATCAAGATGAAGCAGTTCCTGTCGGACGAGCAGAACGTGCTGGCTCTGAGGACCATCCAGGTGCGGCAGCGAGGTCAGTGGCCGCCGGGCCGAGGGGCTCAGGCCTGGACCTGCGGCCAAGCCCAGGGCCGGGGGCTGGCTGGGCAGAGCACGGGCCGGGTGCAGGGCCTGGTTCTGCTGCCTCCCGCTGTGTCACCCAGGACGAGTGACTTTGCCTCTCTGTACCTCAGTTTCCCTCTCAGTTTCCTGAGCCTGGGGCTCTCCCCTGCTCTCCTGGCCCTCATGGGCAGCTCAGGCTGATAATGAGGGAAAAGGCCGGGCCCAGGGGCTGTCCTGGCATGTACCCCCTGAGCACCCCAAGCCTCAGTTTACCCATCAGTAAGATGGCCTGCATGACGGCCAAGCTTGCCAGACTTGGTTTTTGGGTAATCTGTGTGAAGGGCCCATACTTTGACCTCGCCGACACCTGAGTTTGAGTCTCCGCTCTGCCATTCATCCACTGGCTGACCTCGGGCCGTTCACTTTAGCTTCCCTGTGACTCGTTTTCCCCATCTGTCAGCCTCTTAGGGGGGTCAAATGAGTATAAAGCACAGAGAAACTGCCCGAGAACTGTTAGCTGTTGTGGTGGTGGCTGCCGTCATTGTTTTTGTTATTATTATTGTTTCAAGCCAGAATGACTGTGTGTCCTCAGTTTGTCCCACAGACTAGCTAAGGGGTGGTCCTGCCGCACTCCCACAGCCTGGGCCTCACTCCCAGGGAGGGGACCAGCCCTTCACGCAGGGCCCCACTCCAGGGACTGGCCCCCAACACACAGGTCCCCACAAAAGAGGCCTCCTCTCCTCCCTCAGGCAGTATCACTCCGAGAATCCGCACGCCTGAGACAGGCTCGGATGACGCCATCAAGAGCATCCTGGAGCAGGCCAAGAAGGAGATCGAGTCTCAGAAGGGGGGTGAGTGTGACACTGCAGGTGGGGCCTCATCCCGCTCCATCCACCCGGAGGGGAGTCCAGGCAGGTCAGAACCTGTTCTCCTCTTGCACAAGCTGCAGCAGGGTGAGGCTTAGGCCCGGAAAGCGCCCGATCCACGGCCTCCACGCCCGATCCACCAGCACCTGTGGCTTGATCTGTTTAAGTAAACAAAGCGAAATGACAACCTCAGTTCCGCGGCCGCACCAGCCGCGTGGCACGGGTGACGAGGGCCGGCCTGCCGGGGCAGCCCAGCTGCAGAAGGCGTCCCCCGTTGCCAAGTTCTGTCGGCAGCGCCGTCCTCAGCTCTCGGGAGGCACGGGGTCTGTGATCCCCGGGAGCCTGTCAGACACGCTGAGGCCTGAGCCTCGGCCCTGGCCGGCCGGCCACCCTCCTCCTGCGCCTCCGCCCCCTGGGTCCCAAGCAGACCTGCGCTCCGGGCTCCCCCCCTCAGACGCAGCCCCTGTGCTCTCTCGGGGCCCCGCGGCCGTGTCCTCATGCTGCCGTGCAGCCACAAACGCAGCCACGAGCAACACGATGTTGTGGTCTTATGGCTCCGGGCTCAGAGGTCCGATCAGCCTCACTGGCTGTGGTCAAGGTGTCGGCAGGCTGGGTTCCTTCTGGAAGCTGCAGGGGAGACTCCGTTTCCTCGCCTCCTTCTAGGGCCTTCCGGAGGACATCCGCATTCCTTGCCTTGCGGCCCCTTCCTCCATCTTCAAGGCCAGCCTTGTAGCACCTTCACTTTCTTCTCTGACCCTCCCGCCTCCCTCTCGTAAGCACCTTGTGATGACATTGGGCCCCCCGGATAACCCAGGACAGTCGCCCATCTCAGGACCCTTCCGTCAGTCGCAGCTGCGAAGTCCCTGGGCCGTGTCAAGTAACAAATTCACGGGTCCCACGGCTGCGACCGACGTCTTTGGGGCCCATCGTTCAGCCTGCACAGCACACGTTCTTCATCAGCCCCTCACACGTGGGGCCCCCAGGGCCCCCCCAGGCCCTCTCGCTTTCCTGCTCAGTGGATGAGTTAATCCACCCCTGGAAGTTTCAACAGCCAACAACGCCCGAGTCGCTCCCTCTCCAGGCCAGACCCCTCTGGAGAGTTCTGGAGCCACAGCCGACGGCCGTCTGGGCGTGTCCACCAGGGTCCCCCACTGGCCCCTCAAATTCAGCGTGTCTGAGACGGACCTCACTGTCTGCCCTACCCGTCACTTATTCCCCAAACCTACCCTCTCGGGGCCTGGGAACCTGTCACCGATGGTGCTAGAAACCCGGCGTGGGGTGAGGGACTGTCCTTGACCCCTAATCCCCAGCAGCCAATCTGTCGCCCCATCCAGGGGTCCTTCACCCTCTAAGTGGTTTTCTCAAGCTTGTTCATTCCCACCCCCACGGCCCCCAGCCTCGTGAGCTGCCATCATCACTTGCTAGGACCCTTGCAGTAGCCTCCTCATGGGTCCTCCAGTGACATTCCAGGACCCGTGCCAGCCCCTTCTCTACCCGGAGGCGGAAGGGGTCTTTCTAGAGCACACACATCTTCATGTCTCTACTCAGAATCCTTCCATGGCTCCCCATTGCCTTCAGGACAAAATCCCACTTCCTCAGCAAGGCCCACAGCCCTCTAACCTTCAGCCTCCTCCTGAGCCTCCACACCTCCCAGATGAACTGTGTATAGTCATGCCCATCCTCAGGCTGTTCCCTGGGCCCCTAACGCCATCCGCAGCCCAGACACCTTTCACCTGGGCAACTCCTGCTCATACTTTACAACTCAACTCAGAAGTCACCTCCTCCAGGAAGCCCCCCTTCCCTATCCAGATGGATTGGATACTTGGATCCCTCCTTGGATTCCGCATAATTATTTACATTGCTTGGTGCAATGGAGCCAGAGTGGCCTGGCTGCAAATTTTGCTATTTATCAGCTGTGTAACCTTGGGCAATTTACTTAGCCTCTCTGTGCCTCCATTTTCTCATCTTTCAAATAGGCACAGTATTAGTACTCCCTTCTGAAGGTCGCGTGAGGATCAAATGAGCTCAGGTGTGGCAGCGCTCAACCTGGGGCCTGGCACAAGGACAGTGCCCCTGAAGGGTCACCCGTCGTTACGGTTAACGTTATCATCATCGTCTCTATTGTTGTTTGTTCATGTTACAAATGACTCTGCTGCTGTGGCTGTCCCCCCACCAGTCTAGAGCTTCTTGTGGCCAGAGACCCAGTCACATCCCTGTGCCCAGCACAGAGCGGTGCAACACGGCATGGACCGTTCCTGATTTAGAACTGGGCTCTGGCTTCGGCGCTGCCACTCCATTTTGCGGTGTCTGCTGCCTCTTGGTGGCGACTCAGAGCAAGTGTCCCAATTCCCAAGCCTTTGCTTGCTGCTGGGAGCAAGTCTCCCAGAGCCCTCCCTCCCGCCTTGTCCCAGGGAGGGGCCGGGGGAGGCTCACAGGCTGGGAGCTGACACCCCCCCACACACCCCTATAACCCCATGAGCCCCTACTGGGTACACATTCATTTCTTTCTTCTAGGTCAGCTCCTGCAGCAAGAGAGAGGCAATCATTCAGTAAACATTTATTAAGCACCTACTGTGTGCTAGACACAGGTTATAGATGTGGATGAGACGTGATATTGGGGTGGAAGTAACCATGAGAAACAGTCTAATCTCACTCTCGCTAAACACACAGGACAGCTGAGGGCAGAGAGGGGAAGGTGTGCCCACGGTTACAGAGACCAAAGGAGGACCCGGGCCTCCTGACTCCCTGTCCAGTGCTCTCCCACCAAGGGGTCAGAAACAAGGCAGCAGGGAAATTTTAAAGGCAGCATCACAGCGAGGAAACATTGACACAAGCGGCCCAGCCAGGGGGTTTCCATTCAGGGTCTGTGGAGAGTTCAGCAGGAGGAAAAGTGCCAAGGGTGTCACCCACACCCCCAACAAGAGGGAATGCCTAGCAGAGAGAGACTGGCAGTCGCCCGGGAGGAAGTGACTGTGGCTGACTTCTAACTCGGGAATTCTGCTCCTGGGAATCGAAGGAAATGTCCAGAATGGGGACAAAGATTTACGTACAAGCTCTTCCTTTATTGTTATTCACAACAGTGACTAACTAGAAACAACCTAAGAGTCCAGCAGTGGGGGATCCGGTAAGTGGAGCAGAGAATATCCCCTCACTGGCATACGCATCCATGACAGATAGAAGAACTTTTAATCATAGGAAAAAACACTCCTGCTGATACTGAGTGGGGACAAACCAGGCTACACTCCCACATGTCAGGGATAATCATCCATGCATGGATTTGGAAAACAGACCAGAGGGGAGTACATAAGAATATTTCGCGTGGTTGCCTCGGGGAGAGAGGTTAGAGGGAATTTTTATTTTCATCTTAATTTTATGTGCTTTCTTAGCTCTCCACAATAGGCGTGTATTACTTTTTTTTTTAATTGAGGCAAAATTCACATGACATAAAATTAACCACGTTAAAGGAAACAATTCAGTGGCATTTAGCACCTTCACAGTGTTGTGCAGCCAGCACTGGGTAGTATTTCACTGTGTGACCATACACTATTTATTATCCATTCTCTTTGTGGGCTTTTGGCTTCATGACATTGTTTTGCTGTTAGAATAAATGTTACATTATCCCCAGGAGCACTTTCTCCCCATATGCTCAAATCTCACTCTCCACCTGATTTTTCACGGCTGCCTAATATTCCTCCATACAGATAGACCATAACTTACTTAACCCATCCCCAATTGTTGGACACAGAGGTTGCCTCCCAACATTTTGCTGATATGAATACCGTACCGTGAACATCTCTGCCCTCCCAGCCCTGACGGTGTCATTCTCCCCGCAGGTGAGCCCAAGAACTCCACAGCCCCATTGAGCATCACCAACGGCACAGCCCCTGCCAGCACCTCGGAAGATGCCATCAAGAACATCCTGGAGCAAGCGCGCCGCGAGATGCAGGCGCAGCAGCAGGCCCTGCTGGAGATGGAGGCGGGCCCCCGGGGCCGCTCAGTGCCTCCCTCGCCCCCAGAGCGGCCCTCACTGGTTGCCGTGAGCCAGAACGGAACCCCGGCCTACGTCAAGCAGGAGGACGGTGGCGGCGGTGGCGGTGGCGGGGGGACCAGCAGCAGCGCCACGCAGACGCCCCTCACGGTCCTGTCCCCCGCCGCCTTCGTGCAGAGCATCATCCGCAAGGTCAAGTCGGAGATCGGGGACGCCGGCTACTTCGACCACCACTGGGCCTCGGACCGCGGCCTCCTCGGCCGCCCCTTCGCTTCTGTGTCGCCGTCGCTGTCCTCCTCCTCGTCCGGCTGCTCCGGCCAGCCCAATGGGCGCGCCTGGCCCCGAGCGGACGAGGACGACGGGCCGGGCGGCGAGGACGAGGCCCCGCGCTCAGCCGAGCTCAAGGCGGAGGGCGGCGGGCCCGAGGCGGGTGGGGGCCGGCCGGCCTGCTACCCGGCCTTCGCGCCACGCAGCCTGAAGCCCACGGTGCCTCCGCTGACCCCCGAGCAGTACGAGCTCTACATGTACCGCGAGGTGGACACCCTGGAGCTGACGCGCCAGGTCAAGGAGAAGCTGGCCAAGAACGGCATCTGCCAGCGCATCTTCGGGGAGAAGGTGGGGAGCAGCCCCCCAGGCAGGAGAGATGGGGGAGCAGGCGGCGGGGCCGCCACCCAGGCCTGGTGACCCCGACCCCAGCCCTGAGCCTGCATCCGCCTGACCCGGGCGGCAAGGCCGGCCCTCCGTCCTCTGGTGCTCCAGCAGGGCGCTGCCAGCTGGTTAGCAAACAGCCGCTGGCCTCCCCTCCTCTGGGCCCGCCTCCCTCCCGTGATCCAGCCATGGAAGGGTGAAGGCTCAGCCCTGCCGGGGCCTCCTGATGGGGTCGGCCTGCAGTCCCAGCTGGGAAGTCATTTTTAACGTCACCTCTGCCCTTAGCAGGGCAGCAGGCAGAGGGGCAGGCGAGTTCAGAGGAGGCAGAAGGGACGCAAGTGGGAGGCAGAGGAAGTCTTCCTGAAGGAGGGGGCACCGAGGGGTCGTCAAGTCCAGGAGGATGTTTACATGTAGGGATGCGGGGAGGGCACTGCAAGAGGGTGCAGCACGGCACCCGCGGGCCCTGAGAAATGAGGGACGGATGGAGGCAGCCCTGAGGGTCTTGGGGGCAGGGCTGGAGGATGGCCAGGGTCCCTGGGGCCTGCTGACCTTCAGTTCCCGCCCCGCCCGTCCCCAGGTGCTGGGCCTGTCGCAGGGCAGCGTCAGCGACATGCTGTCGCGGCCAAAGCCGTGGAGCAAGCTGACGCAGAAGGGCCGGGAGCCCTTCATCCGCATGCAACTGTGGCTCTCTGACCAGCTCGGCCAGACTGGCGGCCAGCCGCCCCGCGCCTCCCAGGGTGAGTGCAGGCGGGCCCTCCAGGGGTGCAGCCAGGCCGCAGAGGGCACCCCCTGCCCAGGCCACGCAGTGGCCCGCGTCCGCTCCACAGCCCTGCAGCCACGGTGCGCCCCTGCAAGCCTACCATGCTCCCAGCTGGGGTCCCTGCTCCTTCCCCAGAGGGATGCACGTGTCGCTGGTTTTAAACCAGGTGGGACCAGGGCTCGTGGAGCAAGTGGAGAGAACTTTGCACGTGGAGCCCCATCCCCACCCCGTTTCCCGATCATCCACCGTGCAGCCTCAGAATCCTTCTTAGCACAGGGCCTGGGGCCACCGTTATCCGTCCACTAGTGCACAGGCAGGTGGAGTCTCAACTTTGCCTGGGTGAGGAAACCAAGGCTCAGAGAGTTGTCCAAAGTCTCAGAGCCCGAGAGCGGAGGGATGGGGGCACTCCAGGGATCCCAGGCCGTGAGGAGGCCTGGCTGTGGGGACAGGACACCTGACTGCCCGCGGAGACCAGAGAGAGGCACAGAGGAGGAGAGGCCAGACTCCGAGCCCGAGACCCTCGGCTGGGCCAGCTTGCCTGCCTGTGGAGTGGGGATTGGTCCACAGGACGCAACCACGTCCCAGCTCAGAGACGAACCAGACCGCCAGGTGGCAAGGGGAATTCCGCCAGAACCACGCTGTCTAGCAACAAAAGCGCCCCAGGGGATGATGTTTGCTTAGGACGCTGACGCCCGCAGGCAAGACTGCACACGTGGTCGTGTTGGGCTCCAGGCTGTGCATTAAAATAGAAGGAGTCACGGCCCACCAGCCTGGGGAGAGGGGCTTTGGCCGTCTGCTACTTTGTCTTTAAAACAAACAAGATTGGAGGCAAACAGGGCAGTGTTAACATCCACTACGGTGCTGGGCCCAGGGTAGGGACGGGAGACTTACATATTTTTTTCTGTATATTCCAAAACTTTGAAATATTTTGTAATTAGGATTTTTAACTGAAAAACTGCTCCATAAGGAGGGTAGGCAAACGAATGGGACCGTTACAGTGACGTTGGTCACTTGTCACACACAGCGTGGGGCGCTGCACTGCTTTCTTCTTTCATCCTCAAGTCAGTCTCGACCGGGGCGGGGTGGCAGGGCCGGTGGGGCGGGGGAGGACTGTCTGTGGTTCCTGTTGTACAGAAGAAGAAGCCGAGGGTCTGAGTAGTGTAGTGACTTGCCCAAGGTCACCGGCCCGTTGGTGGCAGAGCCAGGATCAGAACGCAGGGCTGTTAGCCATTAGGCTCTCTGCCTCCTAGAGTGCCCACGGCAGGGCCCACCCGTGAAAGGTTCCCATCCTTTTTGTTGTTGTGTTGTGTTTTAATTAATTTTTTTGTTATGGTAAAATTCACATAACATAAAATTTACTGTTTTTGCAATTTTTTTGAAGTGTGCAGTTCAGTGGCATTTAGTGCATTCACAGTGTCGTGCGACCATCTCTGTCTAGTTCCGGGACGTTTTCATCACCCAAGAGGAAACCTCATACCCATTAAGCATCCTTCCCACTGCCGCCTCCCCAGCCCCTGGCACCCGCCAGCCTGCTGTCAGACTCCGTGGGTCTTCCCGCTCTGGGTGTTTCATCCCGGTGGAATCACACAGCGTTGGCCTTTTGTGTCTGGCTTCTTTCCTTAGCGTGATGTTTTCACGTCCACGTGTGGTGTAGTAGGTGTCAGAGCTTCATTCCTTTCATGGCTGACTCCTGTTCCACTGTGTGGATGGACCAGCCTGTGGCCGTGGTGACTCACGCCGCGGTGAAGGTTGACGTGCGTGTTTCCGTTTGGCATCTGTTTTCAGAGGTGGTTCCTTTGGCCCCATATCTGAGAGTGGAATTGCTGAGTCGTACGGTAACTCTGTGTTAACTCGCTGAGGAATTTCCAAACTTTTCCACAGTGGTTGCACCATTTCCCTCCCCAGCAGTGTGTGCGGCATCCCTATTTCTCCACATCCTTGTCCGCACGTGCTATTCTCCGTTTTTGACCGGAGCCATCCTAGTAGGCGTGAAGTGGTATCCCATTGTATCTTGGTCTGCATTGCCCCGATGTCTCATCGCCTGGGTTTTTTAAGTTTCTTATTGTGGAAAGATTTGGAGGAGAATAGAGTTAGGCAAAGACAATCAAGATTGGTGTTCCTGGCAGAAGAAATGGCACAAGCAAAGGCTGGGAGGCAGGACCATCCGTGGTTTGGGGTGGGAGGTGTGTGCAGGTGACGTGACCCCCGGTCACCTGCTTACCCACAGACCAGGATGCCAGGGCCCCCGGTTCGTGGAAGCAGACATGTGAGCGGTAGCCACTGGCCCCAGGGGTACGTGGTGGTTGATCCAACCAAGGCCACCACTTGTCCACAGCCCAGAGTCAGGAGAGTGATCCGCTGCCCAAAGGTTGCGTAGTCTGGCCATGGTCGTGGGTCTGGGCCTGTCCCGGCCCCTCACTTGTCCATGCCCCTCCACACTGGCCAGTGGGGCAGGGACTGGGGCTGGATCCCCCACTGTCCGGGGCGTTGGGGGTGAGCCGGATGCCAGGGGCGGGTATAAAGTGGGCCCCCCGCCCATGAACAGTGACCTGTGCAGACACCAGGTTAATTAACCAGCCCCATTAGTGACGCCCACAGTGGTCGACATCAGCATTCCAGGCACTTCTGTCCAAGGCCTCTCAGAATCTCGAGCAGTTGAGGAAGCCCTGCTGCCACGCGGCCCCTCTGTCTTCCTGCTGTCTCTCCTCTCGCTCCCCCTTGACTTTCTTGCTGTGTCTCTCCCCACCTCCCGCTTCCCCTGCCCCTCTCTCTCTGCGCCTTTCTCACCGTCGCCTTCTAACTCTGCTCTCTCTGTTCTCCCTCATTGTCTCTCCCTGTCCCTCCATCTTGCTCCCTCGCTGTCTCTCTATCGTGACCAACCGTCCCATTTGCCCAGGACTGAGAGGTTGCCCAGGACGTGGGACTTTCTGTACTAAAGTCCCAGGCAAACGGAGACCAGTTGGTCACCCTGCCTCCCGCTCCGCCCCAGCGCCCCGCCCACAGCCCTGTCCGCTGCCCCGGCTCCAACCCCGCAGGCAGTGGGACCAGCCCCAGGGCAGCTGACTGCTCGCGTCCGACCTCGGCCCTTTGTGGTCAGCGTGTCCCTCCCAACAGGAGTGATTCCGCATCTTTCAGTAATTTGGTCGGAAGCGTCCTCGCAGTCAGAGTGGTGGGCAGAGGCCCACGTGCTGCCTGGGGTGGGGCGGGGGTGGGTGCTGGCTGGCTTCAGGCTCCTCGTCCGGGTTTATCTCCATCCCCTCGTCCGCTCCCTCTCTGGCTGGACTCTGGCCCGTTGGGTGGGGATGCGGGTGCAGATGGTTTTCCAAGAGGCAGATGCCCTTGAAGACCTTCAATGCTCCTCAGCTGAGCCCGGCTCCCTCCCCTGCCGGCCGTGGGGTCAGCCACTCACTTTCCAGGGCCGGCCCCTCCCCGCCGGCTTTGCGTCTCTGCTGATGACGGTGACGGGGGACGTGTCCATGTGTCCGTGTCGGCTCTGGCATCACACAGAGGTCACCTGGATGGCCAGGACCAGCCAGTTTGGGGGTAGGGGGGACGTTAGAGTCCCCGTGAGCCCAGACCTGGGCTGCCAGCCACACAGGCCTGTGATGCCGTGACTCAGGACTTAGGCACTTCAGTTTGCACCGTTCAGGGGTAATCAGGGGTCCTGGCTGAAATTTACTCACTCAGCAGACGTGTTCCAGCACCTCCTGCCTCCCCGGCCTCTAGGACTCACTAGTGTGTGGTCCCTGCCCTCCAGGGGCTCGTAGGCGGTGGGTGAGAGGACGGTGTTAGGCGTAAGCAGACCTGAGCTCAAGTCCTGATTTTGCCAGTAGGCGCTGTGTGACCTTGGACACGTTGCCTAAGCTCTCTGAGCCTCAGTTTCCTCATCTATAAAATGGGATGACATAGTACCTACCTCCTAGAGGTGTCAGGAGGGTGCCCTGAAATCATGGGCATAAAACATGTAGCACCATGCTGGGCAGTGGTAAGTGCCCAATGAAAGGAAGCTTTATTAATTATTGTCATTGTCATCATCATCATCATTGGTGTCATCTGGTAAGGGAGTGATCTGGCACAAGCAAGAAATTCTAGTGAACTGTGACAATGTGTAGTTACTGTGCTATTAGACCCCAAAGGTGTGCACCTCAGGGAAGGGGCATTTGGGACTGGGTCTTGAAGGATGCATAGGAGTTCAAGGTTGGGGGAAGGCCTTCACAGTGGCAAGACCAGCCTGGGCAAAGGCATATGTAGGAGGTTTGTTGGGAGAGGACTAGAGGGACTGTGAGTAGCTCCAGGCCTGTGGGGTGAGCAGGGACAAGAGAGTCCAGAGCCTTAAACCTCAGGGCAAGGAGGTAGACATTTCTGGCGCAGGGGGCAGTGGGAGCCATCGAAGGTTCCAGAGCCTGAGAGTGGTCTGATGAGAGTGATGCACTTGCTGTCCACAGGGAGGGAGGGACCCACGCAGAGCAGAGGCTCAGGTTGTGCCTTCTGGAATCAGAGCCACCGCAGGACGGTTATGGGCTCCCTTCACTTCCTAGCTTTCGCAGGTTTTTCTGTTTCTTTTAACAAATTTCCAGCAGGCGGCAGTCAAATGCCTTGAGGAAGAGGCACGCTTTATCCTTTGCTGGAAGGTACCACGTGGACCAGCGCTACGATGCCTAGACTGCCATTAGGGGCGCCTCCCTGGCACGGCCCCTGCCCTTCCTGATGGTCAGGGAGCTGTGCTCACACTGGACGGTCCAGTGGGTGGCTCTGGTCAGGGGCTGACCCCCTCGCCCCGTGGAGCCCCCGGTGGCCCCGAGCAGGGGCCGTGAGTGTGAGGCCACGTGCTGTACGGCCCCATTTAACAGCTCAGGACCTGGGGCTCAGCAAAGTCGCCCCACCCAGGGCGTCTTCCAAACGGCTTTCCGGTATACATTCACACCAAGTGTCTTTGGACAAGTGAAAAATGTGGTTCAAAAACTTACTTTGTTCACGTGTCGGAGTACTGTGGACGTCTTTTTTTGTTTCCAGATTTATTGAGATATTTGACACCTAACACCGTGTAAGTTTCACATGGACGGTGTGATGGTTTGATACGCGTACACACCGCGAAGCTTACCGCTCCCACAGCCTCCGCCTCCCATAATGCCCATCGTGTTGTGGTCATGCGGCAGTGACAGCCCTCCTTGCACAGCAACTGTCGAGGACTCGATACAGTGCTCTCTCTACGGTCACCTTGCTGTGCGTCGGACCCCCGACCTTGTGCATCGCACACGGACGTCGTCTCATTCCGTCATTTTTCTTTGCGTCAGGGACTCATGTATCTTATTTAGCTAACCTCTGGCGCTTGGACTTGTAGATCGTTGCCAACTTCTTTTTTTTTTTTTTTTTTGAGGAAGATTAGCCCTGAGCTAACTGCTGCCAATCCTCCTCTTTTTTGCTGAGGAAGACTGGCCCTGAGCTAACATCCGTGCCCATCTTCCTCTACTTTATATGTGGGACGCCTACCACACCACGGCTTTTGCCAAGCAGTGCCATGTCCACACCTGGGATCCGAACTGGCGAACCCCGGGCAGCTGAGAAGCGAAACGTGCAAACAACTGCTGAGCCACCGGGCCAGCCTCTTCTTTTTTTTTAAACTTTTTATTTTGATGTAATTTCTAATTTGCCGAAGAGTTGAAACGATAGAACAACTCCCCGTACCCAACACACAGATTCAGCAGTTGCTCATTTTACCACCTCTCTGCTCTTTCTCTCTCAACCATTTGAGAAACAAGTTGGAGACATCATGTCCCTTTACCCCTAAATCCTTCAGCTGGTGATTACCAAAAACGGGAAATTTTACCATGGTCCAATGCTGTTACATGACCCGCCATCTCTGTTCCAGTTTCCTCGGTCGTCCCAATAATGTCCTCTGTGTGGCTTTATTCTCTGTCCAGGACCCGATCCAGGATCACGTGCATTTAGTCCTCACGTCTCCTTAGTGTCTTTAAGTTTGGGTGATTCTTCTGCCTCTTGCTGTTTTCAGTTTTGACACTTTGAGGACTAGAAGCCCATTGTTTTATGGACGGGCTTTCTGGCGTTGTCCGATGCTGCCTGGTGATTAGGTTCAGGCACGCACTTTGGCGGGAATGTCACAGAAGGAGCTGTGTTCCTCGGCTCATCGCGTCAGGAGGCACCAGTTGTCCATTTGTCCTGTGGTTGGTGATGGTGACTTGGTCATCTGGTTGACCTGGTGTCCCCGCTGCAAAGTTACTGTCTTCCAGTGTGGTTAGTATGTGGTGGGGAGACACTCTGAGACTCTGTAACTGGCCTGTTCCTCACTGCACTGTCACCTGCCGGTTTTTGCACCCAGGATGGTCCCTGCCTGCGATATTACTGCGATGGTTGCAAAATGGGTTGTTGCCAACTCTTGGCTCTAGCGACAAGCCTGTGTGTGTCTGTGCCAGATTGTGGTGACCGCCTTCTCTGTCTCTCTGTGGCCCACAGCCAGTCCCACAGAACCGAGGTCCTCACCGTCCCCACCCCCTAGCCCCGCGGAGCCCGAGAAGAGTTCCCAGGAGCCCTTGAGCCTGTCGCTGGAGAGCAGCAAGGAGAACCAGCAGCCAGAGGGCCGCTCCGGCTCCTCGCTGGGTGGCAAGATGTCCTCGGGCAGCCAGGCCTCAGGGGGCATCCAGGAGATTGTGGCCATGTCCCCCGAGCTGGACACGTACTCCATCACCAAGAGGGTCAAAGAGGTCCTCACAGACAACAACTTAGGTACAGGGGGCGGGAATCCGGGTGTTGCCTCCTGCCTGGGCCGCTCCCACCTGAGGACGGTGCCCACGGTTGGACCCAGGGCCCTGGGCTCGAGCCTGCAGGTGCCGGGCAGCCCCGGGGCGTCCAGGACCCTCTCGGAGGCGTCTGACCTGGGTCCCTGGAGTGGGACAAAGGGAGGTGAATGCAGGTCTCAGCCCACAGCCCTCAAAGCTTCCTTCTGGGAGAATCCCGGGAACAGCGTGCCTCTGGCACAGTCCTCGTCCCGGGCCGACAGGGGATCTCTGGGGCACGGAGGAGAAATCTGTTCCAGAATTCTTCCGGTTTTGGGATCACAAACCCCTCTGAGTCTCAGATGCTGGTCCTGCCCCCCTCCCAGAGGGATGCACGCAAACCCCGAATTTTTCTCTACAATTTCTATTATAAGAATAAGACGTGTTCATTATTTTAAAATGGGACAGAAAAAATTAGTTAGAAAAGTCCCCATCCCCCAAATCTACTTTGCAGAGAGGTCCCCTCCATTTCACACTGGGTGTGGGTGCCCATGTGTCTGGCTCTCCCCTCCATCCTCGGGGTCTCCCCTGTGTCTCTGCCCGTTTCTTGTCTCGTTTGGGAGCCCTCTGCCCAGCCTGGGTAACGGGTTGCCCTCCTCCTCTGTCCCCAGGACAGCGGCTGTTTGGGGAGAGCATCCTGGGTCTGACGCAGGGCTCCGTGTCCGACCTGCTGTCCCGGCCCAAACCCTGGCACAAGCTGAGCCTGAAGGGGCGGGAGCCCTTTGTGCGAATGCAGCTGTGGCTCAGTGACCCCCATAACGTGGAGAAGCTGAGGGACATGAAGAAACTGGAGAAGAAAGGTGAGCACAGGAGCTCCGGGTCTGGCCTCAGGTTTTCCCGTTGGAACCGTATCTAGTTGTGACCCAAATAGATCCAGGCTCGGGTGGTCCAGTCTCAGCCTGGTGGGGCTGCAAGAAACAGCAGTCCCACAGAATGTAACTGAAAGCAGCTATAGTTACTGCTTCTCCCATGGAAAGTCAACCCCGTCCCTCTCAGCATCCTTCCACACACCAGGGCTGCTCCAGGGTCTTCCGCCAACGCCCTCTGCACGTTACCAGAACGCTCTCTGGCCCCTCCGTCTTCTGTATCCACACCCACACCCCTTTGCCCATTACCCAGAACTGACCCAGCAAACAGGAACCCTCCCTGTGGGGTGGGCAAGGGGACTGCCGACTCTTACCTCGTCCGGCGTATCGTACATCCCTGGGAAGTGAGCTGGCGTTGAGCACCTGCTGTGAGCCCGGCTCATGCTGTGCCTAAGGGACTCCTGGATCTTAGAAAGCTTAGGGTCCAGTGGGACATGAGATATGAGGAGTGGACAGCATTTCACGAGGGGGGCCCAGGGTCAGGCCAGGCTGGGAGGGGCACGTGCCAAGCCTGGGCTGCTGGCATCGGACGACTCTAGTTGAGAACCCGGCCTGCCGCTTTCTGGCTGTGTGACCTTGGGCAGCTTACTTCCCCTCTCTGTGCTTCTCTCTACTTCATCTGAAAGTAAGTGCCAAGAGCATCCACCTCAGGACATTGCTGTGAGGATTAGTGAGACCCTAGTACCTTCCATCCTCCATTCTGAAGCGGGCTTGTTTTTTTCCTCCTTTTGAGGATTGGAGGTTGAGATGCATCAGCACTTACTGGGTTCCTTTAAATCCATGCCCTGCCCCCACCCCCAGCAAGACTAGTGAAATTCAGTGACACTTCTGACAATTGGGACCATGCTGCAGGTACCCCATTTTGAGCACTTCTTATCAGTCAGCAGCTGCCAAGCCCTCTACACACGTAAACACCTGGGAGCTAACGGGCAGACCTCAGAGGCAGGGTGGGTGGCCAGGGCCAGCGTGGGTGGGGAGGGAGTGGAAGGGCAGCCTGAGACTGGGAGCCCGAGGGGCTGGGGGGCTGGCTGGGGGCGAGGAGGCAGCGATGGGCCTCGGGCAGCCCCCTCAGCCCTCCGCCCCGCCCCCAGCCTACCTGAAGCGCAGGTACGGCCTCATCAGCACCGGCTCCGACAGCGAGTCCCCGGCCGGCCGCTCGGAGTGCCCCAGCCCCTGCCTGCAGCCCCCGGAGCTGGGCCTCCTGCAGATCAAGAAGCCACGGGTGGTGCTGGCACCCGAGGAGAAGGAGGCGCTGCGCCAGGCCTACCAGCTGGAGCCCTACCCCTCCCAGCAGACCATCGAGCTGCTCTCCTTCCAGCTCAACCTCAAGACCAACACCGTCATCAACTGGTTCCACAACCACAGGTGCGGCTCCGGGGTCTGGCCGGACGCCCCTGCCCATTCAGGGCCTGGAGGGAGCCCGGCCTGGCAGCGGGAGCTGGGGAGGCCGTGGTGTGTGGATGCGCGGGCTTAGAACCCAGGCCAGCCCGGCCGCTCTGCCCTTTCCAGCTGCGAGACCCCGGGCACGTCCCCTCCCCGAGCCTCAGTCTGCCCACCTGGGAAATGGGAACCGTAATGGGCTCCGCTTCCTCCAGTTGTCCTGAGGCTTCGACGGGCCGCCAGTTGCATGAGATACCCGGCCCAAGTTCTCACTGTCGCCACCTTTCTTATGCCACCACCCGGCTCGCCCTGCGCCTGCCCCGGGAGGGCCGGGGAGCGGTGTGCCGGGCACAGGCTGAGCCCGAGTAGCCGCAGCCCTGATTGGGGTCTTGGCCTCTCTGCTCCGAGGCCCAAGGAGACCCCTCCAGCAGCCCCTGCCCGCCCCCTCGGGAGTGGTGACCCCACTTTCTGTGGCTGCTCCTCCGCCCACAGCCCTGCTCCTGGGAGCCGCTGACCTGCAGGAGCCCAGACTTCCTGGGCGTTTAGTCCCAGGGCTGAGGCGTTGCCCAGATCGGGCAGGGCCAGCCGGGAGCCCCGCAGAAAAGGCTCTGTGAGTCTCAGGGACGTCCCTGGGGCGCCCCCCACCCAGCTTCCTGAGCAGGGAGTGTCCCTGGTGTCCCCGTGGTGCCAGAAGGAGAGCCCATCCATGCGCCCCAGGGGCAGAGACAAGATCTCTTGATCCCCAAGGGAGAAGAGGAAGGAGGAGCCTAGCAGAGTGGAATTCTTGAAATCTCCTCTCCACAGCCCAGGCGTGGGCATCACACAGACCTGAGTTCAGGTCCCACCTTGGCTGTGTGTTCTTAGGCAAGTCGCTGTGCCTCTCTGAGTCTCGTGCCTATTTTACAGATAAGGAACCTAATACTTACCCATGGTGCTGAATCGAGCATCACATGAAAACATGTCGGTGTAAACACATTGTAAAATTGCTTATTATCCAGCTCAGACCCAGAGCCTGCCCAATGGCAAAGACTGAGGGCCTTAAAAGCCTCACGTCATCCTTCCCTCCCTGGGGGCTGTGGGGACGTCCTCTCCCTCGGGAACTGGACACTCCATTATTATCCAACATAGTCATTCAATAAATATTCACCATGTATGCACAGTGAGCCAGGGTGTGGAGATACAGGGCTCACAGCCGTCATCCCTGCCCTTACGGAGCTTAAAATCATGAGCCAGATAATTTCACTACGACCTAATAAATGACGTAAAACAGGAAGGAATAAAGGGGCTGAAGGGAAAGGGAATTCTGCCTGGGGAAAACTTTACAGAAGAGGTGGCATTTGAGCTGGGTTTTGAAGGATGAATAAGAGTTTGCACCAAAGAGCAGAGAGAATTCCACTCCTAAAAGAAACCACTCTCAAAGAGTTATAGAACAATACATTATTTCACTTGATAAATATTTATTGATAAAGGTTATTACTCTGTACCAGGCACTGAAGAGAACAAGACAGTGTCCTTGCCCTTAACATCTCTTCCAGACCTTCAGGGAAGGTCACTATAAACAAGTACTCATATTAATGTATCATTACAAGCTGCAGTGAGCTCTGGGAAAGGTGAACAACAGAATGTTTTGAGAAAAAGTTACCAGGGAGGCCCTGCTATAGATTTGAGAGTCAGGCATTGGCGAAAAGACTAATTTATACTATCATGTAAATGACTGTTAGCTTGATTTATACTTGATCTAGAGTTTGGAAGTTCTAATGATGAAGCTTCAGGCATTGTGCCATCCTAAACCCCCCTCAAATCTCACCTTATGGGGACTACTAGGGTTCCCCCTGGTCCCAGCAGCTCTTCCCTCTAGAGGCGACTGAGGGAGATGCTGGAGTCCCCTAGAAGGTGGGCAAGCCCACCTTTGTGAAGGGACTGGGACTGAGAGAGAAGAGTGAACCAGATGACCCCTCACTGTCCCTCTAGGCCCAGGATTCTGGGCTGGGGGCCCATTCCTGACCTGGGCAGGGAGCCAGACTGCTGGGTTCACAGCCAGACTGCACTCCTTCCTGGCTCTGTGACCATGGCCGTCCCCGTGCTCTCTGAGCCTTGTCTCATTGTCACGGGGAATGAGACTAGTGTCCCCCTCAAAAGGTGATTATGGGGGCTGGCCCCGTGGCCCACTGGTTAAGTTCAGCACGCTCTGCTTTGGTGGCCCAGGGTTCACAGGTTAGGATCCCACGTGCGGACATGGCACTGCTTGGCATACCATGCTGTGGCAGGCATCCCACATATAAAGTAGAGGAAGATGGGCATGGATGTTAGCTCAGGGCCAGTCTTCCTCAGCAAAAAGAGGAGGATTGGCGGCAGATGTTAGCTCAGGGCTAATCTTCCTCAAAGAAAAAGAAAGACAGAAAAAAAGGTTATCATGAAAAATAAATGAAATAATCTGCAAAAAGTGCTTGGCCCGCTGCCTGACGGCAAGCACCCGTTCTTGTGATGTTTATTACAATTGATAATTGTTAGTGTCACATATCAATAACGTGTACTTCGTTATTAACATAAATGGACAGAGGGCTATAGCACTGAAGGCCTGAGGAAGCCCTGTGGCTCTGTGACCTGGGACGAGTCGTTGGACCTCTCTGGACCTCATTTCCTATTAGGAAGAGCGGATGGGGTTAGGCCCATTCCTGGCCCTTCTTGCTCTAAAATGTAACATCTGAGACTCAGTTCCCTCTCACGGCAGGCGGGCGGGGACGTGAAGAGAGTGGGTGCTGGTCTGGAATGCGGGGGTGCCCCAGGGCTGGTCCCAGCTCCCCCACCGTGCCGTGGTGACCTGGATGCGTCACTGCCTACCCCTCAGCTCCCTGCTGGCCCGACGTCCAAGAGTTGCTCCAGGAAAGAAGCAGGGAGCTGTTGCCACAAACTAGGTCTGAGTCTGACTTTGAGGAACGTTCCAGAACAGCACCGTCCGGTGGGAACACAATGCGAGCCACATATGTGATTTTAAGCTCTCTAGTGACCCCATGAAAGGCAGAAAAAGAAACAGATGAAATTAATTGTAATAGTGTATTTTATTTACCCCATATATACAAAATAACCATTTCAATGTGTAATCAATATAAAACCTTTATTAATGAGATCTTTTGCAATTTTTTTTTGTATTAAGCCTTCCAAATCCAGTGCATGTTTTACCCTCACAGCCTCATTAAGTGCTCAAGAGCCGCATGTGGCCGGTGGCTACTGTAGTGGACGGCGCAGGTGTAGGTCGTGTGCTTTGGGATCCAACAGTCCTGAGTTCAAGTCCTCGCTCTGCCACTTACTTAGGCTGTGTGACCTGGGGCAAGTCAGTCCACATCTCTGGCCCTGTTTCCTCCTCTGTGAAGTCGAGATAATAGTAGCACCCACCTTGGAGGGTTGTTGAGGGAACTTACTAAGATGCTGCATGCGGAGAAGCCTAGTGCCTGGTGAACCCCCAGGAAAGTGGGTGGGGTCAAAATGGCACCCTTGTGGATGGAGCCCAGGGTCAGCCGGGTCCCCGTCCAGCCCCTCGCTTACCACCGTCTCTGCCCCAGGTCCCGGATGCGCCGGGAGATGTTGGTGGAGGGGACCCAAGACGAACCAGACCTCGAACCCAGTGGGGGTCCTGGCGTCCTCCCACCAGGCCACTCCCACCGAGACCCCACCCTGCAGAGCCCCAACTCCGAGGCTGAGGACCAGAAGCCGGCCGTGAAGGAGCTGGAGCTTCAGGAGGGCCCCGCGGAGAGCGCCACCCCCCCAACGGCCCAGGACAAGGCCCAAGTGAGGATTAAGCAGGAGCAGACGGAGGAGCAGACAGAGGAGGAGAGGGGGGCGGGCGGTCAGCTCCGGGACTCGGGGGAGCCCGACGAAGGCCACGGTTCCCCCAGAGAGGCACACCCCGACCCTCCGGGTAATGACAGACTCCCCAGAGTGGCCCCAGGGCTCCTTTTTCCAGGCGGGACCACCCCAGACTGCCCCTCACTACAGCCCCCCCGAGAGAGTGAAGGTGGGGAGCGGCTACACCCGGACCCTCTGAGTTTTAAGTCAGCCTCGGAGTCCTCGCGCTGCAGCCTGGAGGCGTCACTGAACTCGCCCTCGGCCGCCTCCTCGCCGGGCCTCATGATGTCTGTGTCACCGGTGCCCTCCTCCTCTGCCCCCATCTCCCCATCCTCACCCAGTGCACCCCCTTCCAAAGTGCCGAGTGCCAGCAGCCCCACTGCCGACACGGCCGGGGCCTTGCCCCCGGGCACCAAGGCGAACCCCAACTTGCAGCGGCGGCACGAGAAGATGGCCAACCTGAACAGCATCATCTACCGGCTCGAGAGGGCTGCCAATCGCGAGGAGGCCCTGGAGTGGGAGTTCTGAAGGCGGGGGCGAGGGCCGCACCGGGCAGCCGCCTCCCCTCTCCCCGACAGGGTGGGGTGAGGGAGGGAGGAACCCAGCCCTCCCAGTGTGGACAGCAGTGTTATGCCGTTTACGTTTTTTGTTGTAACCCTAGTTGGAGGAAGTCATGTGAGCGGGCGGGGCGGGTGCCACTGCCTCCTCTTTTCGGCACCCCCTGCCCCAGGGGGCACCCTCCTCCCCACCCCGGCCTCTCGGTGGGAGGCAGAAGCGAAGCGGCGTCACATTTTCCCCTGGAGACTCCAAACTCTTTTAGAAAAATAAATAAATATTTATAGACCTCTTTTAGCTATTTTAATAAAGGATCCTTTGGAATTTATCCCCAGCTGATGCTGTTTTGATATTGCAGAGAGTTATAAATCCGGACGCTGTCACAAGTGTCGTGAAGGATACACTGACGTTGTGTCATTTTTGCCACTAGATGAGATTAAAAGAAGACAATTGTTCAAAGCCATCACAAAACACGATAAGACTGACCAAAATTTAGATAACCTTGGAACCGCGGTTTTTTCCACATCTGTCTGTGAGACACAGCGCATCGCTACTGCCCTTCCAGAAACCGTGCTGGAAAGAGAAAAGTCCGCAAGACTCTAAACGAAAGCCTCGATGCCGCTGAGGACGTGTGTCGCTCCGGTGGTCCGCTTTGCAACCTCGATAAAGCAGAGTGTCCCGGGCTGTTGTGGCCGGTGGAGAGCTGCGGGCTGTGGCCGACCGTCCCACCGAGCATGGTCCACCCCCTCCAGTCAGAAACCTGTGGCCTTCGCTGCGTCCATCGGTGGACAGGATGTGTCTGCGGATCCTTTGCAAAGCCAGGCACGGGGGCGTGCGACTGGAGGGGGGGCTTGAGCCAGAGGGACCCCATTCCGCAGCCTGAATCGGGGCCACAGCGCAGGAGGTTTCCCCACCAGCTCTCCAGAGCAAGGCTGTGGCCACCATCTTCCCGCCGTGCATTTTAAGAAACTCCCAGCGTTGGTCATCCCACAAGCGCCCAGCACCACAAAGTAGATGCGTCCAACTGACACACCATCTTCCCTTCGCCCAACTCTCTCTCATGTTGGTCCCGCTGCTCTTTCTGGAAGGCGTCTGCGGCACCACACTTGCGCAGAACAAAGCGTCGAGGTTGAGCTCGCCACAGCATGACCACCATACCCCAGCCTCCCAGGCCCCCAGCCTGCCTTCCCTTGCGTGACCTTCTGGGGAGCAGGGACTCTACCCCCCAACTCTGAGAAGCCTTCCTCTGGCGTCTTCATCATCTTGGCTTCCAGGGGGAGAGTTCCTGGTCTGGATGGAACGGCCACCATATTGGTTGTTGGATCTCTCTCTCTCCTGTTTTCCTTTTTCAAACTCTCCATGGGAAGGCGGAATTGGGCGACTCCCCAGCTGAGTCCGGAACGACGAGGAGAAGGTGGCCTCAATCGGTGCCGATCCAGTGCCAGGGGAGAGACGGCTGCCGGGGGCTTCGAGGATGCAAGGAGCATTTTGAAGCCAGGCTGGCAGCCCGGTGACCAGAAGGGGACAGCTGACAGCCGTTCCAGAATCTCCGCTCTCGTGCACCCAGCCCAGACTGCAGGCTCCACGCCAGTCACCGAAGGACGCAAATCCTGCAGGAAAATCTCCTTTTCTGTACACCCAGGCTATGCATTGAAGAGTTTTCCACTGTAGACATTTTTACCCAGATGAAGGTATTTTTATACGTTGACAATAGGAAACAGTGACCAATTTTCAGAGTCATCAAATCTGGAACAAACCAAACATCCCGTTTTAGCCACCACCGCCCTCTGGCGACAAAGACCACCGTGGGGGAACACACCGCTTTTTACTGAGACCCACCCACGGGCTCCCGGCGTCCACGCGGCCTGCGACTCCCAGACACTAAATCCGGCTTTAGGGAGCGGGATTGGATGAGCGCTTAGTATGGTCTTCTGAGCACGGACATCCCGTCGCACCGAAAGCTGGCGGACCCGTGAACAGCTTTGTCAGGTTCACGTCCTCGGACGGTCGAAACAAAACAGAAACCCACAAAACCGTTTCTATGAGAGATTCATGAACTTTGTTTAAAATTTTAAAGAAAAAAGAACACGTTCTGTCAACGCGTCGCTCAATACAGAATTGTATAATAATGTCTGGGCGTTCAGCTTGCTTTGTTCTGGAGCTGGGGGGCGGGAGGGTCCTCAGAGTGTTTAACGGTGTTTTTAAAAACTGGTTTCTGAGTGATTTCGCCACCACGGAAACACGAAGGCACGTCACATAAAAATTGCGATTACCGGCTTCCTTTGAGAACCGTAAAATCTGGCCACACCACGGCCAAGTTCCGACGTGGCCACCGCCCGCCGAGGAGTGGCTGCCCCCTTGAGATGGGAGACTCGCTGCCGTGTGCCTCGGCTCTCGCCCGCGCCCCCGCCCGGGCCCTGTGGACGCCTCGGCTGGCCGTCGTGCTGTGGGCCCAGCCAAGGGCGGCGTGGGGGCTGCGCTCCATCTCTCCACCCAGGGCGGCAGCGGGTTAGACCCTGGGTTCTGCTACTGAGGAGCCAAGATGGCGCCCTGCCCCCAAGTCAGTGGCCACAGGCCGTGGCCCTAAGACCAACCGGTGTACAAGCCGTGCCCACCGGAGGGGAACGTGTGGGTGGTCTCCTGGTGGGAAAATGCCAAGAGGGGCTTCCTGTGACCAGTGAAGCATCGCCCTTTCCCAGCTGTACAACTCGGGCCTCAGTTTCCCCATCTGTAAAAAGGTGTCAGAGCTGCCGGTTCAGAAGGTTGCGATGAGGAATAATCATGTGTGTGGAACCGGGAAGACAGTGTGGCCCCCGAGGGGCCCATGCTCCTTACTGTCAGCATGAGCTGGGCCCGGGGTGGGGGGGAGGGGCTGGACCAACCCGTGACGCTGAGTCCCTCTGAGCATCAGGCTGCAGGAGGTTGGTTTCTTCTTAACCAGTAATGTCAGGAGAGTCCCCAAAGTGGCATCAAACATTACTCATCCATGAGCCCAGGCCACGTGGCGTCCCAAGAAAGATCTTTCCGCTGTGTCTGGAAACCTTCGACCACCTGTTTTTCCACACGTCCTTGCAGTGGGAATTAAGGATCCACTGCCTCCCCCTGGGCTAGGAGAACGAATTGCTCCAAACCCAGGGACCCCTGGATGCCCGAGCACCCCATTAAGGCGGGGAGTGTAGTGGTGGGTTAACGGCCAAGGCCATCGGCCCTGGAGGTCCCGAGCTAGCCATTAAGGGTGACATTTCTGGCAGGCCCGGCCTGTGCTCAGAGTTGGAGAGGAGAGGGTGGGAGTCAAGAGCTCGGGGTGTGGAGCCAGAAGACCTGGTCTCAAGCCTGGCTCCACCTCTTGAAGCTGTGTGACCTTGGGCAAATGCCTAAACTGCTCTGTGCCCCACTTTTCCAAGCCATCCAGTGGGAGTGATGGGAATGGTACCTTCCTCATAGGTGGCTGTAAGGGTTCAGATTAAGGAAAGCCAAGGACTGGCCCTTCAGGCCCTCGGTGTGCAGCCCAGGAGCTCAGAAGTCAGAAATCCCCACATGTGGCCCATGGCGTGGGTGGGGCGGGTAGAGGAGGAAGGGGCATCTGACACACAAGCCCCTCAGAACCTGTGGAAGCGGGTGCCCCCGGGGTCCAGGAACGGACGCTCCATTCTGGGCCATGGGCCTTGGTGTTGGCACTGTGTCTGCAATCACTGCGCCTCTGGAGTGGAAATGCATCGAAAACACAGAAATGCAGGATTCTGGACTAGGGACCACGGGAGAGCAGAGTGGAGAGCCAGAGAGGAACGAGAAGGCAGGGAAGGCATGCTGGAGGAGGCGGGTTTAGATCCGGGGACAGAGGAGAGCAGAGAGCCGAGCTGGGGACAATCGAGTGGCTGTTCACCCAGGTAATAAGTACTTTTTGAGGACCTACTGTGTGCTCAGTGCTTCGATGGCAGAAAACACGGGACGTGAAACAATGGATAGCAGGGTCCAGGAAGGCTTCCTGGAGGAGGGGGCATCTCAGATGACACCTGAAAGACAATAGGAGTTAGAGGAGAAGCAGAAGAGCGGGGCAGAAACAACAGCAGGCAAGACGTGGGACAGGGACAAGCACGTGGGGAAACAAGTCCACAGGAGGCTGGAATTGGGGTGGAGGCAGAGGGAGGAAGAGGGACAAGGGCCAGATCCGGAAGCCCCTTGGGACATGGTGGGGAATACGCGTCTCTCCTGAGGGCAGTGGGGAGCCATGGAGGGTGTGAGAGGGGGTGGCTGTGGTCCGACCTGCACTTTTAGGAGGTTCGGAGGTCCATTTGTCTGGAGAGATGGTGGGCCAGAGGAGAGTGGCAGGGCCCACTCCCCCCACAGACCCTGAACCTCAGGCCTCTGTGGTCCTTGCCGCCCAGCCTGCCCTCCTTTTCCTCCTAGCTCAGCTCCTCGCATGGGGCCAGCAGCCCCGCCTCCCATCACCTCCTGGGGACCGAAAAAGCCAGACCTCACCTGCAGCCACATACCGGTCGCTATGGAAACCAGGCTGCCTTCGCAGACTCCCTGAGGGGAGGGGACAGGGAACGCCACCCTGAGTGACCTTGGCCAGGTGACTCCCCACCCTGGGGCAGTTGCCCCACCTGCCACAATGAGAAGACAAAACCGCTGATCTTTAATGCTCTGTGACCACCACCCCCCCGAGCCTCTCAGGGGTCGCACTGGCTTTGAACTCAGCCGGCCTGGGTTCGACTCTCGGCTCTGGGGTAATCTAGGCCCTTCAGCGAGACTCAGTTCCCCTGTGTGTAGGACGGACGCCATCCTAGCAGAATCTACCTGTACTTGTTGTCTATTACAGCCTCACAAGTCACGCCAAAACCTAGTGGCTCGAAACAATAAACGTTTCCCTCTCACCTCTCGGGGTGGGAATCTGGGAGTGGCCGCACTGGTGGTTCTGGCTCCTGGTCTCCTGAGGTCACGCTGTCGGCCAGGGTGCAGTCACCCAAAGGAATCAGCTTCCGCGACGGTGCCCTCCCTGGCTGGCCGGCTGGCACTGGGGGGGGGGCTGATGGCTTCAGCTGCCCGCGTGTCCCCACAGCATGGCAGCTCAGAGTGGGCGAGGCAGAGTCTGTGCTGTTGTCCACCACCTAGATTTGCATCCCCACTGTCGCTCCCACAGTATCCTGTTGGCCCCCAGGCCTGCCACGGTTCAGGGTGGGAGGGGTCCGCACAAGGGTGTGGACAGCAGGAGGCAAGGATCACAGGGGGCCGGCATGGAGGCTGGCCGCCACACTGCTTAGAAGTTTCTTGGAAGATTCAATGAGCATTCCTGCTCAAAATGCAGCTTTCTAGACCCCGCCCCAACCTACGGACCCAGAATTCCTGGAGCGAGCGCCCAGGAACCTGCATTTTTAAGAAGCCCCTCAGGCGACTCTGGCATCATAGGTCTCGGTAAACGGGAGGCGATCCGAATTTGTGTTGCTCGGCCCCAGTGGGCGTGCCAGGCCCTGGGAGGCTGCTGGACAAGGTGGGAGTACAGAACACACGTTCACTGGCACCTCAGCGCCATTGGGAGCGGCTGGGTTGAAAGGAATTGGGGTCCACTTAAAGATGTGCAAAGGGTCATCGGGAGGACCCAGAGGAGGCCTTGTGAGATCCACAGGCGATGTCAGCTGGGCTTCAGCCAGCGCAGTCTGTCTCGATCTGTTCTCTCTCCAAGGCTGCCTCCTACCTAACGGTGACTGTTTCCCCCACTGCGAAATTCCCGGGAGCAGCTCCGGCCCAGCGGCTGGGCTCAGGGCGGGGAGGCCCCCTGCAGTGTGGGGCGGGGAGGCAATGATTCACCTCTGTGTCAGCACGGTGCCAGGCCTGGGTGTCCACGCCGGCCGGCAGGCCTGGTCCCTGCTCTCAAGGAGCTGCAGCCTGCAGGGCCTGGGGGCGCTGCCCAGGCTTTCTCGGCCCCACCACTCAGGAAGCAGTGACGCGGTTCTCTGGACGATGAAGAGAGGGCAGGAGCAGCGGGCCCAGGACTCCAGAGCTGTGCCTGGCGAGACCAGTGCGGCCGTGGCCCCGGGCGCAGGCAGACCAGCAAGCCAAGCCAAGGCGGCTCTGACCCTGGGTCAGAAGTGAGCCACCATTTGAAACCCTAAGTAAAAAACAGTTCAAGGGCATACCTTTGAAAAAGTCTTCATCAGAAAATGCAAAATCTGCAGCAGGGCTTAAGGAGTTAATCATTTCACTGCCGTCGGGGAGTCTCATCTTGGGTGCCACGATTTTAGAAATTGGGACAAGTTTGTGTAACATGAGGTAAGGTGATGTGGGGAGTGGACAGTTGGCAACAGATCTAGCCCCATTCAGGAGCACACAAGGCAGGGCCGGAAGTGGGGGGAGAGTGCGATTCTTTCAATATTTGTTCAGTTAGAAGAGGAGGGACCTAAGGCTTCCAGGAAAAGGGTGGAAACAGCAGCCGCCTCACTGTCCCTTCACCCCACTGAGCTGACAACAGCCCTGCAGTTGGTTACCCAGAGCCATGCACTCAGGAAGCCTCTGGCTGCAAATTACAAACTAAAGTCCCCCTCCAAGCTTTCAACAAGGACATTTATTACCTCAACTAAGAAGATATCCAGAGGTGGGGCAGGTTCCCAGACCCACTGGTTCCACAAGTCAAAGATGTTTTCAAGTGTGTGCTAAACTCAGTAGGGCATCTTTTTGTTGGCATGGCCTACTTCATGATCACAAGACAGCTGCCACAGCTCCAGGCATCAGACACAACTTCACCCCTAGAGAACAATGAGGAGCTCTTCTTTGTGTCTCTTTTTAGAAGCAAGAAGACCCTTCCACTCTAATCTCAGTGGCCAAAATTGGGTCACAGAGCCACTCTTTAGCAGCTAAAGTTTAGCCAATCCCTGCAAGGCAAATAGGAGCAGCACAACTGATTGAATTTACTAATCATTTAGGGTGGGTGGACATTGGCAGCCAGCTCGTAACTTCTGGCCTGATCGTCCTCCTTGGGGTTGTCATCCCCTGCCCCAGATGGCTTCTCAGAATATTCTTTCTGAACACATATAACCTCCCCCCAAAGATTCTGGGTGAAGACCATTTTCTCTACTTGTCATGCTTCTGGGGTGTTTCAGTCCTGCTTATGCACGTGCCCGGAACCCCTCCCCGGGGTCAGAGGGAAACACTGACGTGTCGGCAGGTCGCTTGACAACACTGAGGCACCGACCAACTGGCGTCCCCTCCCCCATTCAGTTGGCTCCCAGCAGGGGAGGGCACCCCTCGGGGGCTGTTCTCTCCTGCTGCGCCCCCACTCTGTGCCCGTGCCCTGTGGTGGCTGCGGTCACAATGCCACAGGCAGCCCTGACTCAGCCCGTGGCCATGTGGGGAGCCACTTCCCCAGAACCCATCTGTCAGCTGTGGTCCCGGGAGAGGTGGAAGGAATTACTCAGCACGCACTGGATGCTCACAAGTGGAATGATTCCCTGACCTTAATATTTTTCATTTCTTGTTTTTGAACGTGTGCGGTGGACCCGGGACTGAAGGTTGCTCATGCTAAGCCACAGTTTTCTGAATGTGCGAGATTTTTCCAGACCGGGAGACATGTGACCCAAGCTCTGAATCCACATCAGGAGGACCAGTCTATGGTGCTGGGTGACCTCCGGCCATTAGCCCAGCCCGGGATGAATCTGAGAGCTGATCCAGGCCCTCAGCACCCCCCAACCCACCCACCCTGTGCTCACAGCAGACATTACCAATCCATCGCAGGCTCTTCCCCTCAGAATCCTCCTCTCTCAGGCCCCAGGCAGCCCCACGCGCTGATCGCTGCGGGGAGCCCGGTTTCTCTTCCCTTCGGGGACCCTGGCGTTTCTCCCAACTATAGGGCTTCTGCTCACCGTCGACTCGCAAGTCCTCACGTTTCACCTGCGCTGTCTCCCCTCTGAAAAGGAGCGCTGCCGCTCCTCCTGCCCGCCCGTGTGTGCCCCTGGAAGGCTCTGCCCTCTCCCACAGGATTCCAGAGGTGCCCGTCCCTGCTCGACACTCTCCAGCTGTGCGAACACGGCAGCCTTCCTAACCTCTCCAGCTTCGGTCTCCTCCTCTGCGGTGGGGCCAGCCCTGCCCTGGGGGCTGTGAGAACGTGCCTGGCAGACACCCCCCCCAGGGCTGCTGCTGGCTCTGCCAGGGAGACCCATCCACCATTTTGGCAGGAAAAAAACGGCACGCCAGCCATCATTTGACAAACTTCGGTTTATTTTATTTTAGCTTTTACAACCCCCCGGGCAGGCTGCCTGATATCCTCCCCCAACCCAACTCCAGAGGCAGCCTGACCCCATCTTGTGCTTTGGGGGGGCAGCCCCACCCAGCCCCCGAGGGAGACCAGGGCATTGTACCTTTAGAGCTTGTAAACCTGCACCAGGCCTGGGCCAACGCCTCACCCCACCAGCTGGGTGTGGCCAGGACTCGGCGCCGGGACCCCCAGACCCAGAGCCCCCAGCCAAGAGTGGCCCTCCCCCCTCTCAGGCCTCGGGAAAGGGGGAGAGGAAGTGGACAAACCTAGAGGCAGCTGCCGGAGAGCCAGGCTGGCAGGGAGAAGGCCAAGAACCAGGTGAGACTGGCCAGGTGCCTTTGTCTCCAGCCGAGGCTCTGGGCCCTCCCCTTGGGGCAGTGCCACCTATCCCCGTGCCACCCCTAGCCAGGGCCAGAGCCAGCGAGAAACAAAAGCACTGAAAACACAAAGCGTTGTTGCTAGGAAAAAACCACCCAAAGTATTAAAAATTAAGTTAGGAAGCCCAGTCAACTGCGCCCGCAGTCAGCTGGTGCCGGCAGACACACGGACAGCCCCCTGCTCCCGGAGCCGGGCGCCAGGCAGCGGGAAGGGGCTGAGTCTGTCCCTCACCGAGAGGGACTCTCTGGGGAAAGAGGTTGGGGCAGAGGTGTCCTCAGGGGGCCCCGGTGTGGGGCCCTGAGGACTGTAAACATGACCCAGCGTGAGGGCCAGGGTGTCCCAGCCCCGAGACTCTCCTGGACGGAGAAGGGCCACCGTGGTGAGCGGGCACAGTGAAGCGGTCGAGATCCGGTCCCCCATCGGGATTGCCGGAGGGGGACCAAGGGCACGAGCTCAGAGAGGGGCTGGATGGAGGGAGAGTGTTCTGGAAGGCAAACATGGCTTCTCAGCCGTGTCCTTGTCCTCCGGGATCCGTACCTGAGCCCTTTCTGGGCAGCGAGTCAGCTCTCGGCCCCTCCTCCCCAGCGGAACCTGCTGGAAAGTCAGCTCAGGCCAGGCTGCCCAGCCCGGGACTGGAGGAGGTGGGGCAGCTCCCAGAGGGGCCCCCCCCAGCACCCCCACCCCCACCCCCCGGCAGGCAAACCGGGTAGGAGGAGTGAAGGATGCAGTGGTGTCGAGCTCGAGGGCTGCCACACCAGGGCAGACGTGGCCCGGGGCCAGAGGGCGGCTCCTGAGCACCTCCAGGGCTGCCAGAGCCCGGGGCAAAGTCCCGCCTGCCCCACTCCAGGCCCGGGACACGCCTGGAAACCCGCCCTGCTGCGCCTGGAGGCCGCCGTGGAGGAGCCCTCCCCTGTCCCTGCGAGGCCCAGGCCCACTGGGCACCTGCCTTTGCGGCCACACAGCCTCAGCAGCACCCAGCCACCCCAGCCGGGGCTTGTCGCCAGCAACAGGCCTTTGCTGGGTGGGTGGGCCCAGCCTGGGCAGATTCCCTGGAAAGCAGCCCTCGGCTTCTGGAGGCTCCTCCAGGCCCTGGGTTCTTGGAACCAGACACGTGGCCGCCAAGGCCCGGCTTCCGCAGCCACATCAGCATCCAGCATCTTCTCAGAGCTGGAGTCCCGGAACCCAGGCCGCGCGGGGACCCCCAAGGCCGGCCTGGCCCCCACGTCCCCCAGTCTCCGGGGGCGCGCTCAGGGCTGGGCGCGGCCCCGCAGCCAGAGGCTCCGCAGGGCGCGCACCTCGCGGCCGTAGCTCTCGTGCAGCCGCGCGAAGGCGGCGGGCGCGCTGGGGGCCGAGGCGCGGCGGCGGGGCGGCGGCGGGGCGCGGGGCCGGGCGCGGCGGGGGCCGCGGTGCTCCAGGCGGCGCGGCCGTTCTCCCGGGGCGCGGGGCCGGGCGGGGCGGGCGGCGGGGGAGCGCGCGGGCCGGGGGCGCGGGCGCGGGGCCGCGCACGGCGGCCAGCTGGCGCTCGAGCTCGCGCACGACGAGGCGCAGGTAGTCGAAGCTGGCGCGCGACAGCGCCTTCACCCAGCCCTCCAGCGCCGCCTGGCTCTCGGCCGCCAGCTCGTAGGCGCGCGCGCGGGCGCCCGCGAAGCGCACGGCGAAGGCGAACTCCTCGGCGGCCTCCACCAGCTCCACCGTGCAGCCCTCCAGGATGACGACGCCCGCCGGCTCGCGGCTGGCCGCGTCCTCGAAGTAGAAGAGCATGTTGCCGCGCAGCACGAACCAGCGGCGCAGGTAGGCGGCGGCGCGGCCCGCGCGCTGGAACAGGAAGCCCGCGCGGTCGGCCGGCGCGCCGCTCGTCGCGTACGAGGCCAGGCTGCGCTCGTTGAGCTTCATGGCCGCCTGCCTGCGGGGAGCCAGGGTCACCCGCCGCCCCAGCGCCTCCCGGGGCCCGCGCCCCTCCCCCTTCCGCGGGCGGTGGGGGGGGAAACTGAGGCTCAAAGCGCTCCAGGGCCCGCCCAGGCTCACGCACGCGGCCCTGCAGAAGCAGAGCCAGGACCGGAAGCCCCGTGGGACCGGCCCCAGAGGCCAGGCTCCTGCCCCTCCTGCTGGCCTCCCGCCCCAATACTGCTGGGGACCCCTACCCACTGCGTGCCCCCCATTTCGTGCATCTCAGCTCGCTTAATCTGGCGGCCAAGCCAAGCTGGCAGGGACTGGCGTGACCGCACGTGACAGATGGAGAGACAGCACAGAGAGGTTAGAGACTCGCCCAGGGCCACCAAGCTCGTTGGGCGCAGCTGACGTTCAAAGCCAGGCCTCATTCCAGGCAGCTGTTTCCATCATCCCCGGGACCAGACCCGCTGCCCTTCGGTGGTCCCCAGCGGGCGCCAGCTCTGCTGATTTCCTAGCTCAGCTCTGACGGCCCCCATGAAATGTGGGTGTGAACAGACCCCACTTCAGAGGATTGGAGGGCCTTCATTCATCAAACATTTATTAAGCACCTACTGCATGCCAGGCACTGGGAATACAGCAGTAAAGAAAATGGGGAGGTCGCTGCCCCCGTGGTGCTCACGTGCCAGTGCAGGTGAACGGAGCAGACAGTTAACAAACAGATGAAATACATCTGCCAGATGGTCTTACGTGCTGTGGAAAGTCTGACAGGGAGGGGGTCAGGAGTGCTGGGATAAGAGGAGTGTTTGATTTCAACAGGGGGGTCGAGAAGGCTGTACTGAGAAGGTGACATCTGAACAGAGACCTGCAGGAGGTGAGGAAGGGAACCCCTGGGACATGCCAGGCAGAGGGAACAGCAAGTGCAAAGGCCCTGAGGTGGGAACCTGCTGCTGGTGTTGGGGGACAGCCAGGAGGCTGGTGAGGCTGGATCCAAGTGAGGAAGGGGAGAGGTGGTGGATGCATTCAGAGTGACAAAAAAGACTGTTATGAAATAATCCAGATAAAGGGCCCAGGGCAGGGCCCACACTTACAGGCAGGGGATGGGGAGAGCACTGAGGAATCTATGCACTTGGCCCCGTGATTTTATCCGCCTTTGCCCAGGGCAACACTGGCCAGGCAGGACTTGTCAGGAGGTGGTACAGGGTGTCCAATGTGGCCACACCTTTCCCTGGGGTTTTGCATGGCCACTTTGAGGACCCACCTCGTGCTCCTGCCTCACAACCCCACTCTACATAGGACAGTAGCTACATTTCTCAAGAGGCAAAGTAGGTCAAGCAGCTAGAATGCAGCAGGTGCTCAATTAATGTTCTTTCCCAGCCTGCGTGGTGCCTTACTCAGGCCTTGGAGGAATGAGGTATGGGTGGTGGCTCTCCTGGGAGCGGCAGGTCACAGGGGGCCCAGCCAGGCAACCTGACCCAGGGCAGAGGGGGCGATTGCTCCCTCATCTCACTTGCCTAGGCAGTCAAGGAAGGCTTCCTGGAAGAGGCAACATGAGCCATGATTTAGTAACAGAGATCAGCCTGTCCTGACCTAGCAGCCAGGACAAGGCCAGAGCCCATGAAGGCTCAGGGTCTTTAATCCCTGCTCTGCCTCCCCGAGCTGTGTGACTTCAGACACGGGCTGCCCCTCTCTGAGCCTGAGTTTCTCTCTCTGCAAAATGGGACTCATGCATTCCCTCCCCCCCACAACAACTCCCAGGTGAATCTGGGCCCGTTTCCCTCAGGAACCACCCACCCTACTCACCCCATTTCCCTCCTGCCTCTCAGGCCACCACTCACCTCGCCGGCCTCTGCCCAGCTGTGGTCTCGACTTGCTCTTCTCTGGACTCAAGTGTCAGCTCTGCAGTGTTAGGGCTGTGTGATCCTGGGCAAGCTTTAAGCCTCTCTGGGCCTCTGTTTCCACATCTGTAAAACAGGATCACAGCAGTGCCTAGGTCAGGGTTGCTGTGATGATGGCACAGTGACCATGTGGAAACACTGAGCACGGAACCAGGCACCCGGCGGTAGCTGTTGACATTCTTCTTGGCCCCCAAGTGCTGCCCTCAGTGCTTTGAACAGATGGCCCTTGGTTCCCCTGCACCAACCCTGATCACTCATCACGTCCAGCTGACCCCCTCCGACCTCTTCCCCCTCAGCAGGCCCTCTCTGCCCACTGCCCTCCCCTTCCAGGCCCCGTGATGGCTGCCCAGACGGCTCCGGAGCCCCTCCACTGGTCCCCGGCCTGCGTCCTCGCCCCTTCCAGGCCATGTTCTCCAGGGCAAGATCCTAACTCCCTCCCAGGCCCCTCGCCGGGCCCCACTGAGGGACCCTGTTACAACGAAGCCCAACCACAGCCTCCTCCGCCCTAAACCCCCCATGGCTCCCGATTGCTGAGGATCAGGCTCGGTTCCCCGCAGCCTCCCAGGGCCCCCCCCCACCTCTCGGCCCCGCTGTCACGCAGCTCCAGCCACCCTGGCCCCCTTGCTGTTCCTCATACACACGGGGCATTCTCCCACCTCGGGGCCTGGGCCGGGCTGTTCCCTCTGCCTGGCATGCCCTTCCCCTATCTTCCCACGGCTGGCTCCTCATCCTGCAGTTGGAACTCAGGGAGGCGGGCCCCACCCGCCCTGTGTCCAGGGACCCCCGCCCCTCTCCTGCACCCCAACCGAAACTCACCTGCGTCATCTCTGCCTGCTTGAGGAGGCAGGGGACTCCCGCGCTTGGCATGTAGTTGGCGCTCACAGCCCTGTGGAACGAATCAGAGTTATCGTCCCACAGCTCTCAACAGCCCGAGACGGGGCTGCGCCCCATCCTGCATTCACCTGCAGAAACTGAGACACAGAGAGGTCAAGCAACTTGCCCAAAGGCACAAGGCTCTGCCCAGAGTCGCATGTTCTAGGCACCCCGCCCAAAGGGGCTGATCTTGAGGTCCCCTCACGCTGGGCGGCCCTCCTCCCTCTACTGCCCAAACGGGGCCAGCCTGCCCCCCGTCACCGGTGGCATGGCACCCGGTCCTACCCATGGCCCCGCCAGCTCCAGCCCAGCACGAAAGGGGGGCAGGAAGCAGCAGGGCCCCTGGGAGGACCCGGTCCCGCTTATCTCCCCGCACTCACGCTGTTTTCCAAGAAGTTCAGAGTCCGCTGATTCAACGGCCGGCAGCCGGCAGGAAGCTGAAGGGGCCAAGTTCTCGCCTCCTCCAGGGTGGGATGGGGGCCTTGAGGAAACCACCTCACCTTTCCGAGCCTCAGATGCGCTGGGGAGGGTGCAGTGGGCTAAATGAGGGAAACCCACTGGCAGCTACGGGAAGGCCCCAGGACGCCCGCACCACGGTCCGGGCTCGCAGCCCCTATCAGGTGAGGGTAACATCCGGCCCTCGGGGCGGCTGGAATAAGTGAATCCTGGAGAGCCATTTTTGCAAGATGCTTCGCAGGGAGTGAGCGCGCCCAAAGACGCTGTCTAAGGGCTCCAGGGACACAGCTGGCCCAGAAACCAGCACTTGCAGGAAACGGAGGCACGGCACCGTGGCGCTCACTTCAAGGAAAGAAGCCGGACCGGCAGGTCCTGGCCTTGGATTCGGCTCCCACCAGGGTCCCCCAGCAGTGGGCCTCGGGGAGAGGGGGTGTGGCAGGTGCAGGCCGAGCGACACGTGCCGCGAGCCCTCGAGCGCGCCCGCCCCGCCTGCCCGGGCAGGGGCCGGGGACCGGGACCCCCGCAGGCTGGAGGCGGCCCCGCAGAGGCTGGTCCTCCGGGTCTCGCCCCGCTCCCGGCTGCCCTGCCCCTTTGTGTGGGGTGTCCCCTAAAGGACAGCCAGAGCCCCACGTGGGGGTCAGCGACCGCAGGGGGAGCCGACGGCGGCCTGTGCGCAGGGTCCCCCGCGGCCGAGGTCCCCTGTGGGGCCGGGATCATCGGCCCCGTCCGCCCGGCAGCGGGGGTCCCGAGTTGGGGAATCACGCCGGAGTGAGGCGCGCGAGGGCCGATCCCCGCGCCCTCCGGACGGCCGGGGACCCCGAGGCCCACCCACGCGGCCCGGCGCGCGCCCCCCGCAGGTCCCCCGGGCCGGCCTTACCTCGAGGCGCGGCCTAGGGCGGCGGCGGCACGGGAGGAGCGGGGCCGGGGGGCGGCCCGGCCATGGCCCGGGACCCGCTCGGGGGCGGCGACCGCGGCGGCGCTGCTTTGTCTCCGGGGCGGCCGGGCCGGCGCAGCCGCGGGAGAGCAGGGCTCGGACGGAAGGAGGCGGGGGCAGCCGGACGGTCCACCGCCCGCGGGCGCGCCCCTTTAACCCTTCCCGGCCCGCCCGCGCCGGGCCCGCCCCCGCGCTCGGTCCGCCCCCGGATTGGCCGGGGCCCCGGCCCGGCCCGCCCCCGGATTCGCCACGCCCCCCTTGGGCCCGCCCCCGAAACCACTCTTAAAGGGGCCGCGACCGGCTCAGGAATCCCCAGTGCCCTATTCCAGGAAAGAGGATTCGGTTTCGAGGCTCCACGCGCTTCCAAGGCCTAAGTAAGGACAGGCGGCGGATTCGCCCGGAAAAACATCGGGGTCCTGGGCGGGGGTGCTCGCTGAAGCCCTGGGCCTGGAGTCGCAGCTCCTCCTTGCGTAGGGCTGGCGGATTTAGCAAATTTAACACCCAGCTACATTTGAAACATAACTCTGCTGAAAATTTGTGGTTTCTTGGAAAAAGCTGAATGCAGGACATTCCGGGCGTTCTGACGAAGTCAGTAGAGGACCGTACTAGATGTACAGGATGCCTGGCGACCCCACCCCCAGCCCCAGGTGAGGCGGGAAAGCTCTGGAGTTGGGCAGGCTTGGGTTCAAGTCCCACTGAGCCGTCTGTCACTGTGGGGCCTTAGAGAAGTCACTTCACTTCTCTGGGCCGGTTTCCTCATCTGTTAATACAGACAGTCGCCGGATATGAAGTTCACGGCAGACAGTAGGTGCTCTCGACAAATAGGAATTGCTGTTCTTTGTTCTGCTTAGAAGAACACAGCCCCACCTCCCTGGACCTGCTCTTCCTGCTTCCTCCCCGCCGCCCTCCAGGCCTCCATCACTGTCCAGTCCTGGCCTGAAGGCAGCAGAGACACAGGACCGACCAGGATCATATATTCATTCTACAGCCTCTCACTAAGCACCTACTGTGTGCCGACACTGTTCCAGGCACGGTTCCTGAGTCAGTGAACAAACAAGTTCTAGAAGTGATTCCTGTTAGGAAGACTCAGCTATGGCAGTGGGGTAGATTTTAGACACAGTGGTCAGGGAAAGCCTTTCTGAGGTGCAGAGACCTAAAGGAAGGGAGAAGGGAGCCCTGTAGGTCTCTGGGGGTAGGGTGTCCCAGGCAGAGAGAATGGTAAGTGCAAAGGCCCTGAGGTGGGCCCATCCCAAGCATGTTTGAACAACAGAGAGGAAGCCAGTGGAGCTGGGACCGAGTGAGCAAGTGGAAGAATAGTAGGAAATGAGGTCAGAGAGTATCGGCAAAGCCAGGTTGCTTAGGGCCTTGTGCATCATGGGAAAGATTTGCTTTTACTCTGAGAAGAATGGGGAGCCATGGGAGGGTTTTGAGTAGAGAAGGGATGTGATCTGTCTTAGGTTCAGCACGGTCCCTGGCTGCTGTGGGGAGGATGGACTGCAGGGAGCAAGGGTAGAGGCCCCAGGAGACCAGGGAGGAAGGTATTGCAGTAGTCCAAGCAAAAGATGATGGTAGCTAAGAGCAAAGCAGAGGCGGTGGAGGTGGAGAGAAGCAGTTGAATTCTAGAGCCTGCCTGATAGTGAAGCCAGCGCAGAGGAAAGCGGGGCCACAGCCACGACGTGGAGAGAGACAGGTACCTGGTGATATCTGATATCTGCTGAGCTCCTGGATCCAGCTATACCTGATGCTGCCATAACTCCTCAGCCAGGAAAGGCGAGCTGGGATTTCCCCCGAATCTAGATGCTTGCCAGTTGAGGAAAATGCCAGGCACAAGGGCATTTGGGCTTTGGTGTGGGTAAAACTTCCCAGAGGTCTGTGAGTCTTGGCTCTCAGAGCCCCTCATGCTAGAGTTGAGATTTGACCTGGGCGAAAAAGGCAGAAATCGGAGCAAGGCCCTGGCATCTTTTAAAAATTATTATTCCTTATTATTTATTTTTTAATTGAGGTGAAATTCACATTAAAAAATCATTTTAAAGTGAACATAACGTATAACAGGAAGACGTGTTGGTAACACTGAATTATATAATTGAAATTTGCAAAGGCAGCAGAACTTCGATATTCTCCCCAAAACAAATCTGTATAGAATGATGAACGTGTGAATTAACTAGAGGGGAGGAACCCTTTCACACTGCAGACGCGTATCCCATCGTCACGTGGATACTGGAAATATGTTACAATTTTGTTCATCCATTACACCTCAATAAAGCTGAAAATAGATTTAAAAAAAAGATACAGCTTCCAAATTTGAAAAGACACCAGCAAAAGTAAAAGCAAGTGGACAATCGGTGGCATTTAGTCCGTTCACAAGGTAGTGCAGCTACCGCCTCAGTTGAATTCGAGAACGTTTCCATCACCCCAAAGTAAGAGCCTGTCCCCATCAGCTTCGCTCCCCGTCCCCTCCCCCAGCCCCGGCCACCACCTGTCTGCTCCCTGTCTCCAGGGGTTCACGTGTTCTGGATGTTTCCATGCGTGGAATCACACAGCACATGGCCTCTGGAGTCTGGCTCTGTTCACGGAGCATCACGTTTTCAGGGTCCGGCCCTGTTCCAGCGCGTGTCATACCCCGTTCCTTTGTGGCTGAATCCTGTCCCGCCGTGTGGACATGCCGCCTCCTTTGTCCTTTCATCGCTGACGGATGTTAGGTTGTTTCCAGCCTTGGCTGCTGTGACCAGCGGAGCGTCTTTGTGGCTGGCGCCTGGAGCGGGCTGGAAAAGGAACAGTGTTCAGAAGGACTGGGAAGGGGAATTTGAGAACCAGAACTGGGTCGCGGCTGCCGTTACCAGTCCTGATGGTGTTCCCTCCAAACCAGTCTCGAGCCCGTCACTTCTCCATCTCTGCCACCACTTCCCTGCCCCAGGCCACCGTCGTCTCTCGCCCAGTCGGCTGCATAGCCTTCCCTCAGGTCTCCCTTCTGCCACTCTGCCCCTGCACCCCCGAGTCCATTCTCCACCGCGGGATCCTAGTAAAACTGGAGTCAACGCGAGTCACGGCACTCTCTTGTTCAGAGCCTTTCTGTGGCTCCCTGTTGCCTCAGGGGCAAGTCCAGACTCCCACCCGGGAGTGGCAAGGCCCTACTTGTCCTGGCCCCTGCCCGCCCCTCCAGCCTCCCCACACGTGGTTTCCTAGCCCCACTCCCTCAACTGCAGCCTCCTGCCACGCCTCTGTTCCCCAAATGCACCGTGCTCTGGGCCTTTGCATGTGCTGGTGCCCCTTCCAGGACTCCTCCTTCAAGCCCTCGCTCAGCCATTGTCTCTTCCAGGAGGCATATGAGCCCCAGCCCCACCCCACTGGGTCGAATGCCTTTGTTTCCTCCAGGCAGTCAGTCTTTCAGCCAACACTTAGGGAAGCACTTCTGTGTCCCAGGCGCGGGGTACACACAGCAAAGACAGGCAGGGATGCGTGTCCACAGCAGCGCTACTCACACTAGCCAGCATGTGGAAGCAGCCCAAGTGTCCACCAGTGGGTGGGAAGATAAACAGAATGTGGTGCATCCGGACAGTGGAATATTACTCAGCCCTAAAAAGGAATGAAGTGGCAATGCCCACTAAAATGTGATGATCCTCGAAAACATTATGCTGCGTGAAAGAAGCCAGTCACCAAAGGCCATGTGTTGTGGGAGTCCAATTATGTGAATTGGCCAGAATAGATAAGTCCAGAAAGACAGAAAGAATTTTGGTGGTTGCCAGGGCCTAGGGGGAGGGAGGACGGCAAGTGGCCACTTAATGGGCGTAGGGTTTAAAAAAATGGGTATGGGGTCTTCCTTTGGGGTGATGGAGATGTTTGGAACCTGATAGAGGTGGTGGGTGCACAGCATTGTGAAGTCGTAAGTGCCACTGAATGGTGGCCTTTAAAGTGGTTGATTTTATGTCATGTGAATTTCACCTCAATAAATGGTTAAAAAAAAAAAAAAATGACAGACAAGCTCCCGCCCTCGCTTCCCGGGGTAAACAAAGGAAGCAACATCTACAGTACACGAGCCGAAGTTCGGGGTCCGGAACCACCGCAGGGACGAGCACGTGTGCTGTGAATGAGGACGGCGGGCCTGCCGTTTTAGCGGGGAGGGGCCGGGGGAGACCTCCCAGAGAAGGTGCTTTGGGGTAAAGACCTGAAGGAAATAAGGGCACAAGCTGTGCAGCTATCCAGAGGGAAGAGCATTCCTGGCAGAGGGAACAGCAAATGCAAAGGCTCAGAGGCAAGAAACGTATCAAGGAGGCCAGTGTGGCTGGAGCAGAGGCAGCAAGAGGGGAGGAGAGATGAGACCCAGGAGGCCTGTGGGCTTTTCTCAGAAGGCTGGGGAGATGAGGAGGAACTTGCTAAGGAGATAAGAAGCCACATGAAGTTGGAGAAAAACCAGAAGCCATTTGGTGGCAGCGTACCTGGTTTGGGGACTGCCCAGCCCATGACACCAGTCTCCCCCCTGTGAGCAGGCGGGGCCCTGAGCGCAGGGAGTCTTGTCTGCTTTGTTCTCTGCCGCGTCTTCAGTGCCCGACACATCGTAGGGACAGTCTTCCCAGGAAGGTGCCCACAGGACCTGCCATCTTGCACCCAGCCCTGTCCTCGGACCCGCCCTCTTCGCTCGGCCACCAGCACCACTGGGGTCCGAGGCCAAGCTTCCTTCCGCGGTGGCTGCCCCACCCCAGCAGTGGGCAGAGGCCACCAGCCCCGGGAAGGAACTGAAATTGTCCTCCACCACAGTGCGCTGGCCAGGCCCCATGCGGGGAGGGACCCGGGTCCCAACTTCGAGGGTCCTCCCTTGGTACCTGCGCTCCACCAGCTGAGGCCCGGGCCTGGGTGAGCGAACTTTGCTGAAGGCGTGGGACCAGGAGGGTCTTGCCGGCTCCCTCCAGAGCATCCCGAGGAGGATGGGAGAGCCCGCCTTGAAAGGTGGCATAGCTGACTCCTCTCCTCGTCCCCATCATCAGCTATGGGGCGTCTCATGCCCAGTCCCCAAACCCTCTCCTCTGCCGCCTGCAGACCCCCGAATTCCTGACTGCTTTCCCCCCAGGAGCGATTTAAACCGCCTCGGAGTTTCACCTGCTCCTTATTAATAACCAGGACGTACTGCACGCTGGCACAGGGCCGAGTTCCTTTGACCCAGACCATCATATTGAACTCTCCAGCCGAGGCTCAGAGAGGGTGAGTAACATGCCCATGGTCACACAGGAAAAGGGCAGAGCTGGGGCTGCCACCCAAGCCTGTTGGATACCAGCCCATGTTCCTAACCACCTAGCCACCTCCACTTCAAGTCCGAAGAAACCCCTCCCGGTACCGTCCTAGCAAACCCCACAAACTCACAGCCCCTTCCCCTGACCCCAGCCGAGCCCCGACCGGAGCGCTAGCATGGCTGCCTCTGCTGTGCGTGTTAGGTGGAATGTGTTTTCCTTCCTGCTGTGCCAGGTCGGGACCTGAAGGGAGTGCTGGCCGGCGTGGCCCCTGAGCCACAGCCCGGACTACAGAGTGCAGGGGGAGGTCTCGCATTTCCCGTGAAGCCCAGACTCACAAATCAGCGTGGGACCGCGCTGCGAGCTGGAAATCACTTAATGTGCAGCATGGTTCCCATCCCCACTCTGCCATTCTCAAGCTGTGTGACCTTTGGGAAGTCACTCACCTCTCTGTGCCTTGGTTTCCTCATCTGTGAAACAGAAGAAGGAACACCCCCGCACCCCCCCCCCATCTCATAGGTGCATGAGGGACTTCAAGAAGAATAGTCCTGCTTACTGAGCACGTGCTGTGGGGTTTGCTTCTCACGACAACGCTGAGAAGTAGGAACGATTTTGCCATCCCCATTTTACAGAAAAGAAACCGAGATGACATGGCTAACCTGAACTCAAACCGCAAGGAAGTGGATTTGAACCCAGGCGGTCTGGATTCTACACCTTGCTGCCCGTTAGGTAATGACACAAAGTCCTCAGAACGACACTAGCATAGAGTAAGTGCTCAGTAACTGTTCCGTGTTACTACTTTCTGCTCACAAGTTTTGGCTGGCACTTCAAACATCTTTGAGCAATAAAAAAGTTTTAAAATAAGTCGTTATCTGTTTGGGGGTAAAGAAAATCAAAATATAAGGCCCTTGGGGAAAATTTCTAATTTAAAATTTTTAAATTAAAACTGTTAATAAAAACTAAAAAGTTTTGGTGCCAGACCTGGATTCAAATCCCGGCTTGGAATCTGAGTAGCTATGTGACCTGGGGCAAGTCACTTCACCTCTCTGAGCCTCAGTTTCCTCATCTGGAAAAGGGAGATGACAAGGGTTGTTGGAGGGTTCAGTGAGCTTCGAGGCCCTCGCTAACTTGTCACTGTCTGTTTATTTAAGGGTTCGCTCGCCGACAATCTGTTTCCCGGCACAAGAACAGAGACAGTGTCTGTCGTCTTCGCCATTGTATCCCCAGTGCATGGGACAGGGCCCAGCACGTAGTGGAGGCTCAAAAATCCCAGCCTGCTGGGCAGAGTGTCCTCCTGCCCCCATGGGGCCCCAGCTCCTCTCAGCCTGCCCAACTCCTGGCTCTCCCAACTTCCAACCCCAGGACCATACCCTCGTCTCCTGTTTCAGGTATGAGAGGCCCATGAGGCACCTTCGCATGATATGGCAACTGGGAGGACCCACTGGTGTTCTGTGGCAGGAGTCTCTCAGTTGCCAAGTGGCTAAAAGCTGCACACAAACAGGCTTCAGCCACAGAGAGATTGACTGACTCACATGGCTGAGAAATCTAAGGGTAACTGCTTTCAGGTATGGCTGCATCTAGGTGCAAAGCCCGTATCATCAGGACTCAGTTTCTCTCTGTCGGGTTTTGCATGGCTCTGAGTGGATTCATTCTCAGGCCACATGGCCCCCAGAAGCTCTGAGCTTATGTTCTCCCAGCTCCAAGAGGAGTGGAATGAAACATTTTCTTATTGGACTCTTCTGCCCAAGCCTGGAGTTGATTCTCACCGGCCATGTGGCTTCACCTGCCTGTCTTTGAACCAATCATTGGGGTGGGGACGAGAAGGCCGTCCCCAGGGAACATGTTGAACCGAGATTTCATAGAAAGTCAGGTGCTGTTAGCATAACAAGGGAAGTCCAGCAGCCACGCTCATGGGAACCCATTTCAGCAGTGAGGGGAGCCCAGCTGGGGGAAGATGGAAATGTGGGGCTTGCTGCTCTCCACACACCCCTCCGCCCTCAGCTTCCTGCTTCTGCATCTAAGAGTATTGCCTCGTACTTCCCTCTCTCCTCTCCTCCTCTATCCTTGGCCCTGTGACTCCTACTGCCTCAGAGAGGTAAAGTAACTTGCCCAGGGTCACACAGCCAGCATATGAGGCAGAGCACACCCAGGCAGCTAGCCCCAGCGTCCTTCTCTGGGCCCAGGAATAAGCAGAGTCTGACCATTCGCCTGAAGTACACCCAGCCCGGCCCCAGGTAGCTGAAGGGAAGTGACTCAGCGGCCTGAGGCTCTGCAGACACTCCTGTTCAGTCTGGGTAATTCAGGGCCCTGTCAGCCCTCACAGCCCCGCAGAGGACCCTGCGGCCCCCTTCCCCTCAAGCTTCCTCCTGCCGCGGCTGCATTTCCCCGCCCCTCCAGCCAGTTTCTGCCCCTCTCTGTGCAGGTCAGGGTCCTCCTCTCGGAGATGACCTGCTGGCCCGGCGGCATCTTCCTGTGCCGCCTGCGCCCACGGCTCACCCCGGAGCCGTGCTCAGTCACCCGGTGCTGGCGAGGGGCTCAGGGTGGCGACGGATCTCAGAGCCGCCCGGCCGTTCTGCAGGCGAGGAGTGGCCCACACTCACGTCACATGCTCTGTGGGACCATCCCCGGGCTCTGCCAGGTGCGGGCAGGGAGACCAGCTTCCCAGCCTCCTGCAGCCCATTTTGGGGGTCGAGACCAGCCTGCGGGGGGGACGGGAGGAATAGAGTGGGCGCAGCCCCGACGCCCTCCAAATCCTGCCCCGTGAGCTAACACTTTTGTTGTCACGTTTTTTGATTGAGGTGACATTCACATTTCCATTGTAAAGTCCATTTCAGTGGCACGTGGGACATTCACAATGCTGTGCCACCACCTCCATCTACTTCTAAAACGTTTTCATCACCGGAAAGGAAACCCCACACCCAGTAGCTGTCACTCCCGTGCCCCCCTCTCCCAGCCCGGGCACCCACCATCCACTTTGTCTCTGCGGACTTGCCTGTTCTGGATGTTCCACGTCGCTGGTCTCATACATGTGCGGCCTTCTGCGTCGGCTTTCACTGAGCGCCACGTTTCGAGTTCATCCACGTGGAGCAGGCGTCCTTCCCTTCGACGCCGCGCGTCCTCCATTGGTTTGCGTGGCTGAGGATGGCCAGCTGCCGTCTGTGCACTTGTCCGCTGACGGGCGTTTGGGCCGTTCCCACATCTCGCCCATTGTGGCTGCTGCTGTGAGCGTTCGTGCGCAAGTATCCGTTTGAGCACTGTTTGCAATTTTGGGGGGTTTATACCTTAGCTGACATTCGATGCTTCTTTTAACGTAGCTGGGAGGGGAGTGTGAGCGGTGCTCGGTCGCCTGCCCCTCAGCGTAAAGGAAGCTGACAATAACCCGCGTCACTGATCGAGTGTCCCGTGCTAAGTGCTTTGCACACACAGTCTCATGGACCCTTCAGCAGTGCTTTTTTTAAAGATTTTATTTTTTTATTTTTTTTTCCTTTTTCTCCCCAAAGTCCCCCCAGTACATAGCTGTGTATTCTTCGTTGTGGATTCTTCTAGTTGTGGCATGTGGGACGCCGCCTCAGCGTGGTCTGATGAGCAGTGCCATGTCCGCGCCCAGGATTCGAACTAACAAAACACTGGGCCGCCTGCAGCGGAGCGCGCGAACTTAACCGCTCAGCCACGGGGCCAGCCCCCCTTCAGCAGTGCTTTTTGAGGGAGGCACTTGGTTCATCCCCATTTTCGCAGAGAGGTCGAACCAGCGGGGAGGCGCCGGAACCAAGGCTCCCATCGTGAGCCTGTGCGTTAGAGTCACCATCCACCAACAATCACCAAGGACCTACCATTTCATTTTGTCTCAACACAACGTCTTGAGCACCGTTATAATGTGTGCCGGGTTCCTGCCATGAGCCCAGGTTCAAAGATGAGCGGAACTGCAGCCCCACCCTGCAGGAGCTCAGAGTCTGGGGGTACGCAGCTGAATGCATGAGTAATTGCAACATTAGGGATGAGCCCTCTGTCCCTCGGACGCTTGATACAGAGGAGGCAACGCCCCCAGGGAACCCAAGTAGACCTCAGGTAAAGGGCACAGTTCAGGTGTTTTTGAAGGATGTATAGGAGTTTGCCAAGCAGAGGAAAGGGAATCAGAATGCCAGGCAGTGAGAACAGGACACGGGTCTGGAAACATGAAACAAGGGACGGAAAGAAGTCTGGTGTGACTGGAGCGGAGGGCATTTGGTGGGTATTTTCAGGAGGTGAGGTCGACAGGGATGTGGCTGGGAAGGGCTTGGAATGTCAGGCTGCCGGTATGAGTTTTGCTCAGAAGGTCACACAGCCACGGAAGGTTCAGAGCAGGGGAGAGACATGGCCCATAATCACATTCGTGCCTTGGAAATAAATAATAGGCATTTGAGGAGCACTGACTGTGTGGCAGAGACCTCAACACGAATCATTTGACTTAATTTTCACCACAATCCTAGGAGGTCGAGCCATCCCTTATCCCCATTTTACGGACGAAGAAACTGAGGCTCAGAGAGCCCAAGTCACTTGCCCAGGGTGACCCAGCACCAGAGGAAGAAGCCGGGCATTAAACCATGTCCCAAATCCGTGTTGTCGACCTTGGTGGCCGTTTGACGGTGGATCGGAGGCCCCAGACCTGGAACCGGGGTGGGGCATCCAGGGGGGCTCCGGGAGGAGGGGCCGAGGCTTCGCGCGAGCCTCCGCCGCCCGCCATCGCGGGGCCACCAGGGGGCGCCCGAGCCCCGCGTTACCGCCCGCGGGCGCGCAGCCTGGACCGGGCCCCGCGGAGCCGGGCCGCGCGGGGCGGCCGCGGTAACCAGGTTGTCCGGTCTCTGCGGAGCCATCGGGGCCTTTAATTACCCGGGTTGGAAGTGCCTAATTGTCTGCGGGGCCGCACGCCACTGAGTCACTTCCCCTCCGAATCCACATCCCCCCGCGGAAGAGGGGGCGGTCCGCGTTTGCGCGGCAGGGCTGGGGGCCCCGGGGGTGGGCGTGGGGCGCGCGGCCGCCGCGGGCGATTTGGGCCAAGGTCGGAATTCTGGACCCCGAGTCCTGGGCCGCTTACCAGCCTTGGGACTGGGGCAGGTCACTTCTCTCCGTGCCTCAGTTTCCCCCTCTGTCGAAGGGAGGGAAACAACACTCTCTCCTTCCTACAGTTGTTGGGAAGACTAAATCATTAATCCATGCAAAGCCCTCAAAATAGCACCTGGCACATAATGTCCAATAATGATTAATTCTGTTATTACCCCATTATTATTATTATTATTATTTGGGCGTAGTAAGTCGTTGAGAGCTGTGTTCTGCGATCGGACAGGTCTTGGGTCCAGGAGTCTGCTTCAGTCGCTGAGCAGCCATGTGACTCTGGGCACGTGGCCTCCGATTCCTCTTCCGAAAAGTGGGGTCGTTCCTGGCAGAGCCCTCACGGCAGGGATGGGAGGGGGTGTCCTGCTCCCCGGGAGGTCTCGGCTCCCGTGCAGACTTCCGCAGATGGAGTCCAGATTGTAAAGCGCTGCCTGCTTTCCTGAGGCGGCCTGGGGCGGGTTTCGGAGTGGAAGTCGCTGGGAGGGTGGAAAGGGGAACCGGGCGCGGGGAGGAAGCTGGACGGAGCGGCCCGGCACCTGCTCGCCCCTGGACCCGCCCGGGAATCCGGCGGCGGAAAGAGGAAGGGCCGCTGACAGAATTCCTTCTGGCCAGGACTCCCCTTCCTGACCCTGCCAGCCTCCGCTGGGCCCCGATGGGCGGGGAAGGGGCTGACTGGACACCCCCAGAGCTGTCTTGAGCTCTGTATTCGTTATGTGCTATGTCATAAATTGCTCTGCAACTTAGTGGCTTAAAACAGCATTTATTATTTCATATGGTCCCGGGAATCTGGGAGCTGTGTAGCCGGGCGTTTCCGGTGCAGGCTCTTTCCTGAGGTTGTAGCCAGACATGGGCTGGGCTCCTGTCATCTGAAGGCTGGACTGGGGCTGGAGGAGCCACTTCAAAGGTGGCTCATCTGGGGCTGTTGCCCAGAGGACTCTGTTCCTTGCTGGCCATCAGCAGGAGGCCTCCGTCCCCCACCACGTGGGGCTTCTCCATAAAGCTGCTGGAGCGTTCTCAGACGTGGTGGAAGGAGGAGGGTTAGAGAGGAGAGTGACAGCAGCCAGGGGAGGGGGAGGGGGCCTCCAGGAAGTGAGGGAAGCGAGGGATGGGAACATCAGTTGGAAGGGCATCCTGGGCAGAGGGAACAGCCGTGCAAAGGCTCTGAGGCAGGAGTCGGAGGTGGTTTTGAGGAGTGGTGAGGAGCCCAGTGTGTTCCAGGGGTCACTTGATAGAGTGAGCATGCAGGACGTTCCCTGAGTGCCTGCTCGGGAGCAGACGGCCTGCACAGTCTCACTTCCCTTCACCCTGCTACTGTCACGCCCATTTTACAGACTGCGGCCACTGAGGTTTAGGATGTGGAGTCTCACACAGCAGCACTGGGATGAAAACCCAGGCCTGGAAACCTCCAGCACCAGCGGTCTTAGTCCATTTTGGGGGGACGTAAACATTCAGTCCATTGCATTCCGCCCTTGGCCCCCCAAAGTTCACACATGCAAAATGCGTTCCATCCCAAGAGCCTCAAAAGTCTTAGTTCCTTCCGGCATCAACGCAGAAGTCTAATGCCCAAAGCCTTCTCTAAGTCAGTCATGAGTGAGACTCAAGGTGCCACCATTCTGCGGCAGATTCCTCTCCAGCTGTGAAATCAAACGTGCGCTTCCAGAATGCAACCGCGAGAGGACGGGCATAGGACAGAGGTGGAAAAGAAGAAAGGAGTGGCAGGTCCTGAGGAGTCCAAAGCCTTCAGGCTCTAGAATAATCCTCTCTGGCCAGATGCTCTGCCCTCCAGGCATGCTGGGGCTGAGTCCCGCTTTCCAGAGCCCCTGGGGTGTGGGGTTCTGCCTTCTGGACACATTGGGGTGGCGTTCCTGCCTTTGAAGCTCTGCTGGGCAGCGATTGGGCCCCCAAGGTTCTGTCCGCCCCCTGGCTTTGCTGGGCACCGCCCTGGTGGGGACTCTCCCTGGTGACCCTGCCCTCAACGTGGCCCCTTGCCTGGGTTGTGAGCTGGCAGCTGCTGCGAAATCTAGGTGGAGGCAGCCATGCCCGCACAGCTTTGGAGCACAGCCCACGCCGCTGGGGGCTTGCTGGAGCCACAGGGGGCGCTGACCGGGACCCACCCGGGCAGAGCCAGCAGGGGTGGCCCCTCCTTTGAAATCGTCCTGCCACCCAGACCCTTGCATTCTGGGATGGGAGGGAAGCCCCAATGATCCGCGAACCGCCTCGGGCCTCTCCCCTTGTCCTGGACCGGCTTCGTCTGCAGCGCTCCTCTTCCCTCTGGGCCCTCCGCAGAATGGCCCGTAGGGGTCCGTCCCGGCAGTGCAGACGTTTTCCAGCAATCACCCCAGACTCCTCCAGCCTCTACCCAGCACCCAGTTCCAAAGCCGCTTCCACAGTTATGCGTGTTGACTACAGCAGCACCCCACGTCTGGGTGCCAGTTTTCTGTCTCAGTCCACACGGGTTGCTATAACAAAATACCGTAGAAATTCCGCTATGAGTAGTTTATAAACAACACAATCTATTTCTTGCAGTTCTGGAGACTGGGAAGCTGAGATGGAGACGCTGGCAGATTCGGTGACTGGTGAGCGCCCCCCGTTCTGGTTCACAGACGGTGCCTTCCAGCTGTAACCTCACGTGGCAGAGCTGGAGGGAGCCCTCTGGGGTCTCTCTCACAAGGGCACTAATCCCATGCACGCGGCCTCTGCCTCCTGCCCCAATCACCCCCCTAACACCGTCGCCTGGGGGTAAGGATTTCAACGTGAATTTGTGGGGGGCTGGAAACATTCAGTCCAGTGTCGCAGCCGTTGCCCGGCCAGGGGGCAGCCCCGGGCTCAGGCCTGCTCCTCACCTGTGGCCCAGACCGTGTTCCCAGCAGGGGGAGGACGGGTCTGCAGAAGCACACTCCACAGCTGTGGACATCGAGGCCTCCACGCACCGGCTGGTAACCTTGGGAGGAGTCTTTGCTCTCCAGCCTCAGGGTCCCCATCTGTACAATGGGCGTGAGGGTCTGTCTCCCACAGGGCAAGTCTCTGTGACCAGCATGCTCCACAGCCACCCCTGAGGGATGTACGACTCACATCCACTTACAGTCGTGCCTCGATTAACAACAGGGACACATCCTGAGAAATGTGTTGTTAGGCAATTTTGTCATTGTGCAAACATCAAAGAGTGTGCTCACACGAACCTAGATGGTATAGCCTACTACACACCTAGAATATGTGGTACTAATCTTGTGGGACCACCATCATATATGCAGTCCGGGGACCACCATCATATATGCAGTCTGGTGGCTGAAGCACTGTCATGTGGTGCATGCCTGTATAGATTGTAATCAACACTCTCTCTCTCTCTTTTTTTTTTTTTGGTGAAGAAGATTGACCCTGAGCTGACATCTGTGCCAATCTTCCTCTATTTTGTATGTGGGACACCTGCACAGCATGATGTCGGTCTGTGCCCAGGATCCAAACCAGTGAACTCTGCCGCCAAGCAGAGCGTGCGGACTTAACCGCTAGGCCACAGGCTGGCCCCTAATCAACACTCTTTATTGAGCACATGCTATTCGGAAGTGCTGTCCAGCCTCCCAAGCCCTTAACGTGAGTTTTCTCATCAAATTCTCCCCATGCCAGTGAGGTCAGCCCTGTGACTGTCCCCATCTTACAGATGAGGAAACTGAGGCCTAGAGAGTCCAAGTGATCATACAGCTAAGAAGATGCAGAACACAGACTTCTAAAGCCATCTGGGTGACCCCAGAGCCTTGGTTCTTAATTAGGGGCCCCTCTGACAATGGCGTCCTGTGCTTGAAGGGTGTCTTTGAGAGATCCTGATCAGGGCTAATGACTCCACTTTTCAGGGCTCGGTTTCCTCACCACACGATGGGGATAGTAATATCAACAATAGCGCCTACCCCGGGCGGCCGCGAGAGTCGAATGAACTAACGCATGGAAGATGTCAGAGCTGCGCCGTCCGGCCCAGGAGCCGCGGGCTACGTGTGGCTCTTTACACGTTACTTCATTAACATTAAGTAAAGTTAAAATTCAGTTCCTCAGTGACATTGGCCACGTTTCAAGCGCTCAAGAGGCTCATGTGGCAAGTGGGGACCATATTGCACAGGGCAGACAGAACATTTCCATCATCAGAGGAAGTTCCACTTGTCGGAACTGGTGTGGAGCAATGCCTGGCCCGCAGCAAGGCTCAAAGACTGCTCACCACGTTATTGCTAATCCTACATCATTAGCTGTTTAATGATAGTATCGTATCTATTACTCTTAATCCTATTCTCGCCTATTGTTATTTTTATATTTATTATTACTTGTCCTGTAACTATTAAGTGCTGTTAGTCCTAACTATTATATTACATTTATTGTTAATCTTATTACTAACCTGTTGTTATTTTATATTTATTATGCTTAATCTTGTAACCATTAGCTCCTATTATTACCATTTATCCTAGACTTGTTAGGTGTTATCATATTTATTGTTACTACTAATATCCTATTCTTATCTAATATTCGCTATTAATCCTGTAACAGTAACTATTTTTACTATTAATTAGACTTGTTTATTGTTATGTTTTTATATTTATTGTTATCAGTCCTTGTGTTGGCATCCTGTACTGGTTAACTTTTGTTTTGTTATTAGTGTTAACTGTTAATGTCACTATTAACAGTATTAAGCAGTACCTGTCGATATGGTCGTTGACTATTGTTTCGTTGCTGCTATTAATCCGGAGAGCCTGGGCCGGAACCGGGCAGGCAGCAGGTGCCCTCGGGGTCAGCGTCTGTCCCCGCGGGGGGACCTGCTGGGCGCCGGCGCTGCCCGTTTCGGGGCAATCGGCCTAAACCTCTTGCTCGCCCGGCGGCCTGTGAAGGGGGAGGAGCCGCAGAGATGCGACCGCGGGCTGAGCTGCGAGGCTCGAATCTAGGGCAAGGCGGCGGCAGGGGCTCCTCGGAAACCTCTCGCCTTTCTAAGGAAAACAGAAACGAAGGTGCGACGTCTCCATCGCGGAGAGCGCTGAAACGAGAAACTGGACGCTGGAGGGGACGCGCGGCGAGAAGAAATTCAGCGAGAAAGGAAACCGCTTCGGGCCTCAGAGAAATCTGGCGAGAGAGAAGCCTTGCACTGTGATTAAAAAGGGGAAGAACCACAAGTCTCCATTTAAGTCAGCAGAACTGCTGTCTGGCAGCGAGAGGGAAAGTGCTTGTGGCTGGCAGACTTCAGCAACCATTTGACAACTGCTGTGTACCCGGCTGCTCTCTTGGTACCACCTGACAGCTGTGTGACTGCAGGCAACTTACTGCTCTCTCTGGGCCTCAGTCTCCCGAAGTGGAATAGAGAGACAATAATGTGGGGCGATCAGTTTACGCCTCCTGATACCTTCCCCCTCCCCTCGTCCCACACCCTCGGATGCTGGGTCGCCTCCTGCAGGCTTTGCAGCTCAAATCCAAAGGTCAACAGGTCCTTCTGCTCAAAACCCTCCATGGCTCCCTATTGCCCTCAAGGGAATTCTCAAGCTCGCCACCAGGACCTTCAAGTCTCCATGGGACAGGCCCGCCTTTCTGACTTGGGCTCTTCCCATCTATCACCACTGCCTTCCCAACGTTCCTCGAACACACGGAGTTTCTCACCTCCGGACCCCTGCACTGGCTGTTCCTTTGGCCTGGAGCACCTTTCCCTCAGACCTCGTCACGCCTGGATTCTTCATGCCCTGGGGTGGGGGGAGGGGTGGTCTCAGCTCAGATGTTAGCTCCTCAGGGTCGCTGTCACCGAGCCTCCAGTCTGACGGCCCCTTCCGGCTCTCCATCCCTTAACTCTTTGTCCACCTTCATGACACATTATCCCATTTATTTATCTGTGCTCCGTGTCCCCTCCCCAGAGTGTCAGCTCCGGGAGGGCGGGGAGATTCGTCTGTCTGGTTCACTGCTGTGTCCCCAGCATCTAGAACAGTGCCCAGCACACAGTAGGTACTTAACACTTATCTGTGGAAAGCACACGGTTTGTGGCCAGCTCTTTCAAGGTTATTGGACACCAAGGACCCTGCAGCCGACCAGCCTCCTTCCCCCTTCTGCTGGGGTCTGGAAATCCCCACCTTCTGGGGAACCCCTTCCTGTAGCTCCGAGGGCAGGACTCGGGCCTGACGGTCTAACCAACACTCACAGAAAGCGTTTTCTCTTGGGCCAAGCCGCAGGCCGCCTGCCTTCACGCATGAACTCATTTCGTCCTCACGCCCCCCAGTGGAGCGGGTACTCTTATTATTTCCATTTCCTCGGTGGGGAAATCGAGGTATGGAGAAGTCACGTCATATGCCCACATCTAGGAAGACGGGGAGGCAGCGGAATGGAGGGGCGCGCTGTCTGGAAAGGGGTGACCCGGCCCCTGCGGGCTGGGGGCGTGGGCGACCCGTTTCCTGTTGTGGGAGGGAGGGAACAGACATTCCTCTCTCCCCGACACCCGGGCTGGCTGAGCGTGTGCACCACCCCAGACTCGCGGGGACCCCGCTGTCAACCTCACGCCACATCAGGCCCGGAGAGAAAATGAAAGTGGCCCGCAGACAGGGAGGCCCGGAGCGCATGGGCGTCCGCGGTCTGGGAGGGCTTCCCGGAGAAAGGGGCACTCCCGGCGCGGGGGACGGGCGGCTCGATGGAGGGCGGTCTACACGGGGCGCACAGACACGAGGGTGGGGACGGAACCCGAGTGGGGGGCTGGGGCCGCGGCGGGTCGGCGCAGCGGCGCCGCGGGTAGCCGGGGCCGGGCGGGGCGGGGATCCTGCCCCGGGTGATGAAAGCTGCGGTCGCTGTTGCACGGACAGGTCCGGCGCGCGCAGATAAGGCCCGGCGGGAGGGAGTCGGCGGGGCGCGCCCCCTCGAGGCCAGGCGGCTCGGCCCGGCCCCGCCCCGGCCCCGCCTTTCCTGGGGCCCCGCCCCCGCAGCCGGAGGCACCGGGTGGCCCGCCCCCCCGGCAGTTCATTCCCTTCTTTAGGCTGCGCGGTGCAAAATCGGGTGGGCGAGCTGTGGGCGTGGTTCGTCCAGGCCCCGCCCCTCCCCGGCGCGCGTTGGAGACCCCAGGACCCGGTCAGCCCCGGAGGTGCAGTGGCGGTGGGCGTGGCAAGGCCCGGCCCCGCCCCCAGGACCTGCCCCTCCGGCCCCGGCCGGCTCGCGGAGGTGGGCGTGGCCTCGCGCGGCCTCGCCCCTGGGCCCCGCCCCCGGACCGCCCCCCCCCCCCCCCCGGGGCTCGGCGAGCGCAGCCGGTTCCTCTTTACATAACGGCGCGGGGCGGCATGGGCTCGGCCGCCGCCTCCGCCCGGCCGCCCGCCCGGACTGTCGCGGCCCGCGGTGGCGACGGCGGCGGCAGCAAAGTTTCCCCGGCGGCGGCCCGGGGCGCATCCTCCCGCAACTGTCAAGCGCTGGCGGCGGAAATGATGAGGCGCTGGCCATTTTCCGAGCCCGGGTTTCCTGCCTGAGCCCCGCTCGATAGAGCCGCGAGCCAGGAGCCGGCGCGCGGAGAGAACGCTCCCGGGCGGGGGCCCACCCGCCCCCTCGGGGTTTCGGGGGGCCGGAGGCGCGCGACGCCATGGGCCGGCCGGGCCCGGACCCCCCGTGTCTCAGGTAAGGCGGCCTCCCCGGCGCTGCCCTCCCCCGGGGCCGGAGGGCTCGGTCCTTCCCGGGTCTGCGCGCTCACCCCCGCCTGAAACGCTGTCCTGCCGCTTACTCAGGTGGGGGCGCTCGGGGGGACCCTTCCCCGGCTCCTGCGACACCCTCCCGGCCGACACCCCACCCACACACGTGCTGGGATGGAGTGGGGAGCCAGGCGGTGGGGGAGGCGCCCGCAGAGGCTGCGGCTCCTACCCCCAGGCCACCCCTTAAAGCGGCCCCGCCTGTCGAGGCAGCATCCCCCTCGACTTGTGTCTGGTGGGAGGGGTCGGGGGGGGTCACCGCTCGGTACCTTGAAAGTGAAAGTAGTGAAACTGAGGCTGCGAGATGGAAGAGCCCTTTGGTGCGGCCCCTCCCTACTGCCCCAGGCCATGTGGCTAAGAGGGAGTCCCCGATTCCAGAAGCCCCTCTCCCCACTTTCTGCATCACCGAGGTGAGCCTGGCCAAGCGGCCCCATGCCACTGAATTTGGGGGTTCCCAGAGGTTAGGGATCCCAGAGCTCAGGTCTCTTTGGCGGGTACCCTCACACCCC